CTATTGGGTGTTCTGCACTGTGCGGTTGTTCGTGTGTACATAGGTATAGGGTGTTTTGGAACCGGTGGTTGCAGATCGCAATGTAGTGGCCGCGCGATTGTTGTGATTCTTTGTTGCCATGTGCGTAGATGCATGCAGGTATGCCACGTGATGCTGCAAAACGCATTGTAACGGCCGCATGTCTGTTGCATGGGTCTATATGGGGCTTGTGTTGGGGAGAGAGTTGGAGGACGAAACATTATGTTTTTTGGGTAGAGTGGCTGCAGCCGGCGATGAAGGGCAGCTCCTCTGTGAAGCGGTTGCGGCTGGGGTCGCTTTGGCGTGTGATTGGTTCCTACAGGGTGTTCTGCACTGTGCGGTTGCTCGTGTGTGCGTAGGTATAGGGCGTTTTGGAACTGGCGGTTGCAGATCGCAATGTAGTGGCTGCATGATTGTTGTGTTATTTTGTTGCCATGTGCGTAGATAGATGCGGGTATGCCACGTGATGCTGCAAAAAGCATTGTAATGGTCGCATGACTGTTGCATGGGGACTACATGGGGCTTGTGTTGGGGAGGATGCCCGAGCGCAAAACACTGTGTTTTTCGGGTAAGGTGGCTGCAGCCGGCGATGAACTAGTGCTTGCAGCGTGGGAAGACACCTTAGCTGATCCTAACTGGACGCTATCGCCCCTCTTCAGCCCTCCCCCAATCCCATCCTCCCGTTTTTTTGGTTTAAACCCAAGCTTGCACACTTTTCAACACACTAGTCTATATATTTAGATCTTTAAATAATATACGTATATATATATATATACATACACATATTTATGGTTGTTTATATACACGCCTTGCATCCCCAGACAGATTATATATAAAAAACCAGTACATGCAAATGAATCCGCATAATTATATAATTATTTGAATGTACATGTTGCATCCCTAAATAGCCCCTAATCCAACATCCAACCCTAAGCAAACCCTAAACAGACCCTAAACCAACCCTAAAGAAACCTTAAACCGACCCTAAAAAGACCTAATGACCTGAACAAATCTTGAATAAACGATAAACTAACCCGAAATAATCCCGAAACAAAACCCTAAGCCTAACCGTAAAGATATATTAAATAGACTTGTGAATACACTGCTTTCCGTGTATATATATATGTATATACATATATCTATATATGTATATACATATATATTTCTATATATGTATATACATATATATATATAGGGATATATATATACATATATATATGCAAATATATTTACATATGTAAAGATACATGCATATAGTCATGATTAGTCATGCATGTATATCTCCATACATCTATGTATTTGTACTTACTTTAATGCACATAGTATATCTCCAAAAATCAATGAAAACTTCAGAAAAATAAATGAACACCATGTAAACAACAGTGAAAACCATGTAAAAAAACAATGAAAACCATGGAGCAGCCGGTGGAAACCATTGAAGAAAACCATGGAAAATCGAAAACAACTATGGAAAAATTGAAGAAAACCATGGAACAATCAATGAAAACTGTGGAAACCTCAGCAAAAAATGTCGAAAACCATGGAGCAATCAGTGAAAACTGTGGGAAACCCGATCGAAAAAACATGGAAAATCGATGAACAGTGCAAAGGAAAGATTTTAGCTGCAAAAACTAAGGATGGCAGCCTCGACGACCCCCAAAAAACCGCACCCGTAAATAAATGCTAATATGGTTTGTGCTTGTTACAAACACCTTGCTAAAGTGCGGGGTCAACCAATTATTCAGGTTGGACTGCTATGGATGCCTCATTCCATAGAGGCTGGTTTCTTTGTGAGCAATGCTGCGCAGTGGTGCTTTTCTTTCTGAATGGCGGTTCTTGAAACAGTTTTGCTTTGTGAGGCTCTTCCTTGCCCGGCCGTGAGCATTGGAACCGTCCACTGTTAGATGCATACATTTTGTTGTGGCAACCTTTACACTTTTATTATATGATTCTGCGATTTTACTGTCTATTCCTTTTAAGAGATGATATATACTGGGAAAAGGTTAGTTGAAGAGGCGACTTGCCACAAGCGGAAGGTGAGCAACTGGTACAGAAGCCGCAGATCTGCTCAGCACAGAAATTAAGCGGGGAAAAACTCAGTGAAGCGATGAATTTTTGTGCACGCAAACGTTTTTTTCGTTGTGCCAGTGATAAAATACAAGAGGAAAACTTCAGAAAATGGATGGAAAATCGAGGGATAATCTGGAAGTTCAGCCTGACAATGGAAGTCAGCAGGGAAAGACAATCCAAAGCAAGAATAGGGTCAGCCAGGGGGTGAACTTCGGACCCCTTGGCTTTCTGAGCTAGGGACGGGGACGGGAAATCGAACGGCTGCAGAATTGCCTTGAAGTTGTTTTCCCAGGATTGGCCGAGTCTGATTTATAAGAGGTAATTTGTGGGAAAAACGCAGCCTTGCTCGCCATTTGCGTGAAAGCCGCCGTGAAGCCTTGTGATTTTGCAGTTTGATCATGCAAAAATTGTTCCTGCATGCGCTGATCATGCAAACGCTTGATTTCCGTAGTTTGAGCATGCAAAATTTTGTGCGTAAATGGCATGATCATGCGAAGGTTTGTTAGGCAATTTGATGATGCGAACTCTTGCATTTTACGCAGTCTGACCATGCAAACTTTTGCTGTTTCACAGTTTGATCATGCAAACCCTTGTTGTAAGCAGAAAACAATTTGAAAGGAATGTTGGAAACACAAAAGATAGGAAGGAGTGCAGTGGCTTGTTGAACATGAAGGCCGCTTGTTTTTTGGTTCTCAGTCAATGGAGCGGCGGCTCACAAAGAGGGGTTATCTAGGTACGTATGGATGTATGGATGTATGTATGTATGTATGCATGTGTGCAGGTATGTAGGTATGTAGGTGTGTTTGTATGTAGGTATGTATGTAATGTCATGTAGTGTAACGTAATGTAATGTCATGTTTGCGAAAATGTATATGTAAGGGTACATGTACATGTACATGTACATATAAATGAAAATGTAAAAGGTAAAATGTAAAAGGTCGATGTAAATGTAATGTATGTGTGCATGTTTGTAGGTATGTCCGTATGTATGTATGCATGCATGCACGTATGCATGCATGCACGTATGCATGTATGCATGTATGGATGCATGTATGTAGGTATGTGGTATGCAGGTGTGTCTGTCTGTCTGTCTGTATGTATGTATGTATGTATGTCTGTATGTACGCAGGTATGTAGGTATGTACTTCATATGCATGCATCAACGTATGTATGTTTGTCAGTATGTATGCATGTATGTCCTATATGGGTGCATGTATCTACCTAGGGAAGCAGGTAGGCAGGTAGGTAGCTAAGTAGGTAGGTATTTAGGAAAGTAGGTAGGAGTGCATGTCGTGTTTGTATGCATGTATGTGTGTAAGGCGTCAGTACTTGTCGGTACGGTAGCTTGCAGTTGTTAATGGTCTGGAGATTGTTTTAGATGAGAGCCGTGGTCGGCGTTATACGGGGCATCGGGTACGGTGAAAGGGAGGAAGAGGAGGCGTATGAAGCCAGTTGCAGAGCCACGCGCAAGGGTTCGGGAGTGGGACGAAGTAAGGTGGTGGAGAAAGGAATGGCTGTGCTACATCGCTGTATGCAGAAGGGTCTGCGCGTCGCGGAAGGCGACTTTGTACATGGCTATGCGCAGCAAGGGTGCACCTGCTAGGTCTGCTAGGTGACCGGTTGTCACTTAGAGCATTGGTAGGCACTGGCAACTTTTGTTCCAAGCAGGTTATAAATAAGCTATTGTCGAAGGAAGTTTAGAAGTCAAACTTCCGACAATATGGACAAATGAAAAGCAGAGATGGGAAGAGTCAGAGAAGAGAAGAGAAGAGAAGAAGAAAGATCAGAGAAGAGAAAGCGTCAGAAGAAAGAAGTTGCAGGTGCGCGAAAAGGTAGCAAGGTCGCGAAACACTGTGTTTTCCCAATGATTTGTGGCTCCGGAGGGTCGAAAAGTAGGCTCGCTAAAGCGGCGGGTGCGGAGCCATCTGGCCAGATGAGAGATGAAAAGTTGCACGCCGTTGTGGCGCGAAGCACATTTCCAAGTCAAGATGCACAAACACACCATGCTCAGACCACTTTTGGAAGTTGAGATGCCGAAAAAGTGCACGACGTTGTGGCGCGAAGCGCGTTTCCAAGTCAACATGTACAAAACACACCATGTTCGGACATGTTCGGACCACTTTTTGAAGTTGAGATGTCGAAAAAGCGCACGCCGTTGTGGCGCGAAGCACATTTCCAAGTCAAGATGCACAAACACAGCATGCTCCCACCACTTTTGGAAGTTGAGATGTCGAAAAAGTGCACGCCGTTGTGGCGCGAAGCGCGTTTCCAAGTGGAAAGTGCAAAAAAACCGACGGGTTCGGACATGTTCGGACCACTTTTGGAAGTTGAGATGTCGAAAAAGTGCACGCAGCTGTGGCGCGATTTCATTTCCCAGTCAAAATGTACAAAGCACAGCATGCTCGGACCACTGTTGGAAGTTGAGATGTCCAAAAAGCGCACGCTGTTGTGGCGCGAAGCGCGTTTCCAAGTGGAAAGTGTAAAAACCCGACGGGTTCGGAGCAGTTTTGGACTTTCAGATGTCATTGTGCGTGACATGCGCAAGGGATTCTCATGTTGTCAAAAGTGAGCAAAACGTGAGGGTTTTGTAGCATTTCAACTACAACCACCACTACACTACACCCCACTACAACTACAACTACAACTACACGACATTACAGTACACTACACTACACTACTTGTATTACACCGACACTCCACGCTCCACGCTCTACACTCTAAACTGTGCACTTGACACTCCACACTTTAATCTCTACACTTTGCACTCCACACTCTACACTTTACACTTTATACTCCACACTCTGCATGTGCAGTGGAGCGCTTGCTTCAACTTGCAAACTGCCAGGACTGAAATCAGTAAACACCTTGAAGTTGGTGGCAAAGCAAACACATGGAGAGATGCACTCTAAACCTTTTTTGCAAACTGCCCGCGTGGATCTCGAGCGGCGTTGCGACATCGGGAATGGCACGTGCCCAGGGTTTTGATGGGCAACCCTGTGTCAGATGCGAAAGCAGGAGTTTTGGCAACGAATCTGCAAGCGATGTGCAGCTGCGATGACAGCCTGCAAGAGAATTATATACAGCTGAAATTCCTATGACAGTCACGGCTCACTATAGACAATCAGTCATAGCCGTGGGAATCTGATTCAAAAAAAATATGGTTTGCTCTGATTTTCGGGTTTGCAAACGAGCAACATCGACAGAGGAAAAGGATTGTGCAGGACAAGTGCAATGGATTACAGCATGGTACTAAATGGTAGATGGACAAGATCGAGTACAATATTCACTATATTCAATAAGGATATCAATAGTCAATGGACCTGAAAGACCTTACCGTGACTTTTACTCCTCGAGGCCTTGTTCTTGCCGGCTTGATGGCGGGACCCCAATGACGATTCAACTCGTCGAGGCGCCCTTGCAGAATGCACTTTTGGCTTTTGTGCATTGAGACATGGATTGGCATGGATTAGGGGAAAACCTCAAAACTATAAAACATGGGCAAGTAGAAGCTCTCCATCTGATGCATTTAGACTAAAATACCAGCTGGTGACTTTGTGCAAGCCTTCACTTCAAGGTGAAACTCAAAAACGTGCCTCAATCAGTGGCATTCGCTCTTGTTGGTCTGCCCTCCTGCGAAAGGGAAGTTTAAGCGCGAGGCAATACAGCACAAACATTATGTGGCTTGCGACCCCGGGTCCCATGCTCCCACCGCCTTCTCACAAGAGCGTAGCAAGGCATGACAAGAACGGCCATGACGGTTGTAACAGCAACAGACCTCACTGTGCCATAGTGATTGCTTACGCATAGCAGTGCCCTGCACACCTAAAGCCAGGTCACCGAAAACTAGGCAACCAAACACTTTCGCTTGGTTCACAAAAAAGGCAATTGATGAAGCCTGGGTGTGGCTGGGTGGTCTCAATCAAGCATGGCAACAAAGAATAACCACACGGCATCCGCACATATCCGCACTACAAGCAATACGAATTATGAGTGCTGTTTCTGTCGAATGTAGATGCGTGCTTACGATTCGACGTAAGTTGTTCATGTGCATCACAGGTTTACTCAGGCGTTGCTTCGGGCTTCTGAATTTCCAAATCCGCCAAGTCACAGTGCACTGCTGAAAGGTAAAGTTAGCGAAGGCCGCGTCAGCTTTCTGAGCAAGCGAAAAAACTTGTGGAGTTTGAGCAATTTGTATCAAAATGTTGTCAAACAAATACATCGGTTAAGCTCTGGGACTTTGAGGTGTTACCAAATGCAACAAGTCGCCAAATGTCGCGAAAGCTAGCTTGTTCGTAAGCCCTTCCTGCCGTACCTACATGCAACAGGATACAAAGGCGCCGGGTTCCTGATAAAGGCTAAACCGTTTCAGTATGTTTCAGTCTGAATCCCATGACTGCATCAACGTGTGCATAGGTGTATAGTAGCAAGTGTGATGAATAGTGGCTTAGCAGAGTTTAACGCAAGAAAACGCACTAAAATGTCATCCAATGCGTGTGCAAGTGCCTGTGTGCTATGTAAATGTGTCTGTGTATGTATCTAGGTAGTCAGGCATGTACTGTAGGTGTCCAGGAATGTAGACATGATCTAGGTATGATGTAGCCATCGTGCAGCTATTATGTAGGTATGTAGGGGCGAAGTGTTAAATCTTACAGAGAGCGAGCAAAGGTGCATCATTTTGATTCTCAAAAAGCAGTCACTTGCAGTCACTTGCAGCCACTTGCGGCTACTTGGGCAAGTGGCTGCAAGTGGCTGCAATTGGCTGCAAGTGGCTGCAAGTGGCTGCATGAGCAAGTGGCTGCAAGTGGCTGCATGAGCAAGTGGCTGCAAGTGGCTGCAAGTGGCCGCAAGTGGCTGCTTGGGCAAGTGGCTGCCAGTGGCTGCTTGGGCAAGTGGCTGCAAGTGGCTGCAACTGATTGCAGCCATCTGCAGCGACTCGTAGCCACTTGCCGCCACGTGCCATCTTGAAAAAAAGTGATTTTGTAGATGTTACTTTTTTCAAGATTGTCTGTAGTAGATTTCTAGCAGCCATGCACCAGCAGCTACCCGCACCGATTGAAACATAGGTATAAAAGCTGTTTCGGAGAAAAAACAAAGGGCCAGATTGTTTGTATTTGAGGGCCAGCGCTCACTTGCAGCCAGCGAACTTACGACTACCTGTTTAGTAATTTTTGTGCGTTGTTTAATGGTGTTTTACCTTAGTAGGCGATATATTCTAAGTGTAGGACGCTTAGGCTATGATTTGTATTTTAAGTGCCAAACCGGGCCACGCTTATAATGCATTAAAAACTGTAATTGTTTAAATCATATTCTAAGTGCTGGTCCACCGCTGTATATGCAATAACTAAACCAATAAACAGATCATTAAATAAAGCACTAAATAAGTAAATATACGTATGTATGCATGCATGGTTGGATGCATGTGTGCATATATGCATATATGCATGTATGCATGGATGCACATAGGTTTGTATAATTTTGTATGTATGTACCGTATGTTGTGTGAGTGTTACACATATGTTCGATGTGTACATATGTAATTTGCCCGCGTGTATATGCATGAAATATCATACAATGCTTGTATGCTTTCGTATATGTACCACACATGCACAAACACCCGCCTCATTGCGATGATAAGGCTCTCTTTCCAGGCCAAGTTTCGCTCCCACGGTAGAAATTGGCTAGGGCGGCGCGATTTACAGACTCGTAGCCTCACTCTGCAAGTTGCAAGCCGTGCTAAGTTCTTCTAAATCAGATGCCAATAGTTCAAATTTGCTTCTGGTCTGTCTTTTTATCTTTATGTAGTTTCCTCTTCTTCTTCTTCTCCTTCTTTCTTTAGCCTTTTCTGCAAGAAAGTGAGCTAGCTCAGCGATACTGGCATTTCAAGAAACGAAACAAGGCAAAACCTGCTGTCAACACTTGAGTCTGCAAGCAATCAACAAAATAGCCAAGGCAAACCCAATCGACTGAAGCGTTGTTTGCGAACGAGAACTCCATGAGACAACGATGGCAAACAAAGTAACACTTGGTACTTTACATGGGCGCAAGCTGCATCATGTAGAAAAACTATCAAACACGAGATGCAATTTGGCTTGGTTTCCTCAGATTTCCGATGCTTGTGCTTCATTGCAGTCCGACTTTCCGCTGAGCAGCTTCCTCGGCCCAACCCCCACACCAAATAGGGCAGAATAATCCAAGGCGCCTCAGTGCCGCGCAGTATGCGCAATCACAATACAGCTGCAATCACAATTCAGGAATTGTTTTGCCTGAGGGTTTCATGCAAATTAAGTGCGCAGTGGCCAGCACAACATCAACATGCTCCATGTCAGCTGTGGATGGAGCCCGGAAAAGGTTCTTTGAAGATCTACACATGGAAAGAGACCCTGGCATCCGATTGGATCAGAAGGGCGGGGGTTCCCCCAGGGGACTTGCTGCGTCCATTATGAGCCCCGTGCGCTCCATCCCTTCATCTCAGTGAAACCAAAGTACCTTCCAGAAACAAACATCAGAACATATCAGAACAAAGTGAGCGTGCCCGGAGATACAAAAGGCTTGACTCGATTTGGGTTGCTTGTTTGAAGTCTGCTTCCAAACCAACCTGGTCACCAAATTAACTGCAAACCTGTTGCGTTCTCTTCAACTTACAACCAAAGCTGCTACATGTGCTGCGCACATCGTCACCAACATGGCCTCAAAATGCACCGTGGCACAAAGTTGCAAGATCATGGAAGGCCCCAGGCTTCAAAAAACCAGGGGCAGCAGTCAGTGGCTAAAACAGATTAAGATTATCTACGTATGGTGTTTCAACATCAGGCTGTGACTTGAAACATTGACAAAATGCATAGCCTATTATTCTGAGATAGCTGGTGCAGCTCTCTGCCAACTGCCTTTGAAGCTATTCGATAATATCGAATGGTCCACACTCTGCTTGAGTTGTCTACGCTTTAGCGGCATTGCCGACTCCATGTTGTCCAAAGCATGACCGTGACAACTGCTTGCTTTGATAGGGTCTTCTGTTCGGAAGTCTTCGCACGATGGATGGACTGACTTGGCAGTTCATCTGCCAAAGCTGCCACAACATGCAAGACTTGAAAACGCAATTCCTGTGGGAACAAATGCGCAACACTAATGCTGAAATGCTCTGCGCATGCTCTGCGCATGCTCTGCACATGCTATGGACCTGAAATGAGCATGACATGCACATGCTTCGCACGTGCTTTGCACATGCTATGGACCTGTGACACGCTTATGGACATGATTGCGGACATGCTCATGCTCTGAACATGCTTGCGCATGCCTGAGGACATGATACGGACATGACATGGACGCGATATGGACACGCCCAATTGATGCGGGGTTCTCGTTGCCAAGGTGCTGCGGATCCCAAGGCCATCGGCAAGGCCAAGCCTCGCTGGCCCAAGTGACCTAGGGACATGCCCATCACCCAAAGTGACCCCTTAGAAAACAAGATGACAATGCGTCAACGTGTCGAAAATAGGGCACCCTTTAAGCGCTTTAAAGCACTGTCTGTACGCATCATAGAACTCTCAACATCATATTTAAGTCATTCTCCTAGCATTCAAGTGTTGCCTCATTATTTTCAGGTGTTACGTTTGCGGGTTGACTCAGCAGCAGAGCAGCTGCATGCACTTTTTCCTTGATTTTGCAACACAGTCGTGTTCTGGATGTTGCGTTCTACTGTTTGAAAGGCTGAACAAAGTTGCACAATGTGAATGTAGTCTTCTAACAAATTGATGTGTTTAAAGGCTAAATTGCATTGGTACTGTTTGTTTGCGCAAGGATTCGAATACTTGGATGGTGTATGATGGTGTTGGATTGTTTGCTAGTGGTACTGCCAGGCTCAAATCATCTCAAACCACAACTTTTGTAAACAACGACGCTTATCACGCAACATAAACCGATAGAAAGATCGACTGACATGGCTTTCATGACCAAAAAATCTAAAATTCAAGCTTGGCTGAACGGTCTTTACACGGAAAACTGGTATGGGCAGCGCATGACTTCAGGGCATGTTCATGCAGGGCGGCGTCCCGGCATCCCGGCACCCGTGATGATAAAACGCAACCCAATCTTGCAAAGGCGCCACGAACAATACAGCGCAGTCGGTATTTCGTTAGTCAATCAAAACCAGGCTTACAAGCACATGATTCGGGTTCCTGCGGGTCTGTTTTATGATGTTCCTGCTGCCGTTTTTCCGTCAAAGATCAAAGACCTTTGGATGGGTGATCCTTCTGCCATTCAAATTGCGGCTACTTCGTGAAACAATTTGCAAAACCTTTTACTTTGAAATGTGTCATTTTTGGAACACGGCCAGTGTGTATCCCAAAATCTTATTTTGCCAAAATATCATTTTGCCAAAGGTCGCAAAATAACAATCTGGGGCGTCCCCAAACCCCACATTTTGCACAATCTCTAGGGGTGATGGTTCTACTGGAACCTTCGTCCTTTTTTAGTTTTGGACAGCTCTTTGTTTAGTTTTTGGTGTCTTTTTGGGGATCCACTGACTCAAGCTGACGCTTGGCCCACTTGCAGGGGGTGATGGTTCCAGTGAAGCCATGGTCTTTGAGAAGTGACTCGGTGGAACCCACGAAGGCTGATCCTGAGATGCTGCACAGGGATACGGATAATTTCAATGCGATCAATCAATGCAGGCGCCTGCCCCAGGAAATGTGCGAGAAACTTTTGGCATAACAATACTTTGGCAAAATGATATTTTGGCAAAATAAGATTTTGGGATACACACTGGCCGTGTTCCAAAAATGACACATTTCAAAGTAAAAGGTTTTGCAAATTGTTTCACGAAGTAGCCGCAATTTGAATGGCAGAAGAATCACCAATCCAAAGGTCTTTGATCTTTGACGGAAAAACGGCAGCAGGAACATCATAAAACAGACCCGCAGGAACCCGAATCATGTGCTTGCAAGTCTGGTTTTGATTGACTAACGAAATACCGGCTGCGCTGTATTGTTCGTTGCGCCTTTGCAAGATTGGGTTGCGTTTTATCATCACGGGTGCCGGGATGCCGGGACGCCGCCCTGCATGAACATGCCCTGAAGTCATGCGCTGCCCATACCGGTTTTCCGTGTAAAGACCGTTCAGCCAAGCTTGAATTTTAGATTTTTTGGTCATGAAAGCCATGTCAGTCGATCTTTCTATTGGTTTATGTTGCGTGATAAGTGTCGTTGTTTACAAAAGTTGTGGTTTGAGATGGTTTGAGCCTGGCAGTACCAGTAGCAAACAATCCAACACCATCATTACAGCACAATTATCCCAATTGTTGCACAAACACCACAGTTCCAACCGAAAATAATCCATATGGTGGCATCTATTTGATTGAACATGTTCATTTTACATAGTTCGCCTGTGGTTGGCCTTTCAAACAGTAGGAGTGCAACATACAAAACATGACTGCGCGCAGTTGCCCTGCAGCAGGCAGAACACCTGAAAAGCAATGAGACAACACCTGAATGCTAGGAAAATGACTTATTTATGGTATAGTACTGTGCTGAGTATATTGCTCTGCGAGGAATGCACACAGAGGTCAACAAGGAGAGAGAAATACAGGACCTGTGCATGTTCAGTGCAATTTCTCTCTTTGTTTGATGTGGCGGCGCAGCAGCTGAGATCCTCGGGCTGTAGAAGACAGTTCCGCAGGCAGCAGACGCCACGGTTAGAGCCGTCAAAGCGCCGATGGAAGCTGCACCAGGCCACAATACGGGCAGTGCATGGCAAAGCTAGGGCCAACTCGCATGGCTGTGTGCTACGCCTTATTTTTGACCAAGTCGAAATGAATCTAAAAAGTACCTCAGGCAGCTCCTTTGCCCCTTTAAAACTGCCTAAGGTTGTGAAAGAATACATCCTAGTTTCAATCCAGGATTCTTTTGACATGCTTCAACATTGTTTCAGCATATTCAAGCAAATTCGGATCACCCCACCTGATCCCCCGATGTTCAGAGCAACCTCCGCGTTGAAGTAGCCGTTCATGTAGGCTGCTCCTCCGTGAGCCAAGAAACATGAACTCTTGTGGAAATCGAATGAATGTGGATTACTCCTGGGCGATCCCACTGTGAACTTGACATGGATGGACTCTGATTGTTTGACATGCTTTGCAAGGATACGCTGCATGTGCTTGTCAAGCAAAAGTCTCCGAAGCCAAACGCCAGGTTGGTTGGGCTGAGGAGCCAAATCCTTCGTCTCTGGGACATTCAACAGTTGCAGCTTCCAGAATGCACGCCATCCAACCGAGTGACCCATCCCTGTTTTGGACGCTTTGAGGGCGCGACACAACATCTGGCCACAAGGACAAAGCCTGACAAATAGTCGACCCAGAGCGGAACAGAATTCTTCTGCTTGGTCACTACCTCAGAAAACTCAAAAGGTAAAGCCAGTTGCACCGCTTGTAGCTTTCCCAGGACCTTTCAAGCAGTGAAGCAAATGAAACACAGAACGGCGTCAAGGAAAATTGCAGACATGTTTTTTTTTTACATGTATCTGTATGTAGCAAGGTGTAGCAGATTCCATAGTAAGAACGATTGAACACAACTGCAACCAAATGTACATGATCACGACATCGCATATATATATATATACATATGTGTACATGTAAAATTATATGTGTACCATCTTTTTTGTATACATATATATATATATATACGTATATATGTATGTATCACCACTACCCTTTTAGAGGGGGAACCACGCCCAAATGTAAGAGACAATTTTCAAGGTGTTTCTGAAGGGGCCTTGAAAATGCAAGCTAACATGTTCAAGGCATTTTTTCTTACTGTCCCAAAAACCGACACCTAGAAGGACGTTCAGCGCCCACTTTTACATGTAAAAAAAGAAAGGGTGGGTACCAAAAATGTATCTTACATTTGGGTATAATCCCCCTCTGGAAACGGTGAAACCGGGGTTTTAAAAGGGGTTGATTATATACATGTTTCAAAGAGGGTGTATCAGCATGATCCAAACTTGTGGCAATGCACCAAGTTCTGAAGGCCTGGCCTGGCCACGCTGTGCGGAGGTCTCCTGAGGGCACCCCGTTGGCTCAAAAGACATCGTAAGAGTCGTTTGCTTTTTTTTCGTTACACGGACATGAAACGATGCTGGCAAATTCTCGTGTGACATATCTTTCCCTTGCCTCCCGAGGCAAAGGATTCCCAAAAGCGAATACAGCCTCAGCCACCAAAAAAAAATGAGAAGCCAAGAGGATCGCAGAGGCAGTGGAAAAGTCAGCTGCATTGCATTTCTGTCCACAGACAAACTATGCTAGTTGTTTCAGATGCCATATTTGGTTCATGGATGTTTTTCGGGTTCTTTTCATTCCAGCTTTGTTGCGCTGGATGCAATTTTGAAAACAACCATGTTTCTTCCCAGATTTGCTTCTCGCGGGAAGACTTTCAAGGGGCTTATCGCTTTCCCACTTCTTAACGCCTGTTGCGGTAGCTGCAAACCAGGTGACTGTTGCAATGGCACCAATTGTGATGATCACCTTGGCCATGTGGAACAGCAAACCATGGACAAGGCAAGTGGACAAACCATGCGAAGACATGGAGCAAACTGAGCAAACATTTCAGTTTCTTCAGTTTCTTCCCGCTCAAGTCTTATAGTCTTATTCAATCTGCCCACATTCGTCCTCATCTGTCCACTGTGTTTGGCATATCTGCCTGTCTGATCGCGGCCTATGTTGATTCTTGTGGACCGATCCTTTCAGACGCCATGCGACCCTTTCAGAACACCCTCTGCTTATGGGATGTGGACATCAAGTTTCAATCTGTAGGCCCTGTAGGCATGCAAAGCGCTGGGTGATTGCTTCGTCGGGTCAAGTATGTGCACTGATGCTCCCCCATTCCGAGACTCTTCTCGGTGTGTGAAAGCTCAAGCCATAAGTCAAACAAGATGTAAACAAACAACACCCCCTGACTCCTCAGCCATCCCTAGCACCACCGTCTTTCCCGAACTTGGCCAGTGACAACAATGGAGATATCATCCTGGCAAGGTGAAAGCAGTTTAGATGCTGCAAAATGCCGCAAGATCAAATGTAATTTACTCTATACTCGATCCAAAAGAAAGCCCTCCCACATGTCTTCTCAACGCTATGAGAATTGCTACGGCCCGACAATGAACTCTGGACTTGGTATCCTTTCGATCCTGCGGTAGCTCCTGCTTGGAGTACTGGATCAATGACGTGAGCAACTTCAATGCAAATTCCCAACCCAAGTAGCGCAATGCGAAAACTCCTGGAAAAGAGGAGCAGGATGGAGCGCAGCATTTGCGTTTTAAGATTGTTTGTGGCGAGGCCCTGGCGAAGATCGCTACAGTAGCTTTCAACATCTTTCAACACTTTTCGATCTTTTTCGTTTCATGATGTTTCACGTCTTTTGCCATCTTTGCTCAACATGTGAGCCCAAGCATTTTAAAATGTGAATCTAGGTCGAGCTCGCCTGCGAGCCATGCGGTTGCCTCACGTGCTTTGGCCTCCACAGCTTATGAAAATCAGTTCCACAAGTTTTAAAACGCCTTCCAGGATGGAACCCTTGGATATGTCGATGGTGTCTCTGATGCTATATCATAAATATCAAAATCAATCTATATATGTTCATATGTTTGCAAATGCCCTTGCTGCAATTGCTTTGTCACCTGGACCCAGCTTGCGTTCATAGTTCAAATAAGTCAAAGTGTACAGTAACGTTCCTGAACTGTCCAAAACATTCCAAAACCTCAATGCACATGCAATGCAATCGGCGGGGTCTCCAGGAAGACTCATAAAGGAAGGACATGGCAACTTCATGATCTAGTGACACCACATCGCACTTTGAAATCTGTTTCCGAGCATATCTTGAATTTGCATAAGTTTTCGCACGCTGTTGGAATTTGAACACCCTTGGAGCCCCTCCAACATCTTGTGAACTGGGCACAGCTTGACACAGCTCCTGTGGGTCTTCTGCGCCAGAGGCAATGAGGGCAGAGGCATGACTCAGCGAGGCTCGCAAAGGCAACGACTTCGCTTCACCACAAAAGCTCAACAGTTGACAAGAAACCGGCCTTTTTGTCGTGCTCCTGTCGAACCCGTATGGTTTAGAGACTTTCTTCGGTACATTTTGTCTTTCAGGCACAAAAGGACAAGCGCTTGAAACTTGACACCAATAGGTGCTGCATCTTGCCGTGACCAGTGGTGCTGCAGGCAGGACATCACCAACACCTCTGAACATTCAAGCATATTGTGACCTTCACCTTTTTCCGGTGCGAAATGCGTCCAGAGGCTCTTCTAGGCAGCCCAACGCAAAGTAGGAGCCTTGACTCGTCCACATAACACCAGCACCTAAACCTGGCAGGTTCCGAGCACAAACATGTGACGTCTGCTGCGTTCGATTGCATCGTAGCACGTGCATGTTTTCCAAGTGTGAAGGTACCGCTTATATACAGATTCCGACTCTAGCCAACCAGCAAAATAATGTTCCCATTGCGGTACCTATTGGAGGAGACTGTCCTAGTTCATTTGACAGGTCAATCTGCTTTAGATGACCAAACTACAAGTTTTGAACCCGGCTTTAACTTTTCAAACCCCACCGACCTAACTAGTCCAGCCTCCTGTCATCCCTTCACTGTTCCACTTTCTGCGTTCGTGTTTGAATTTGCAAAAATCACCATCCCATTCGTGCAATTGCCTGCTATGACGGAGGCGCTGCAGAGCAGCACAGGACCGGAGCTCACACAGCTCTGGCAGGCAACAAACAGAGCAAGCAACTGCAAAAGCTGATGAAACCCTGATGGACACTTGAGCGTTTTGGCGTGTTGTGGCAGCCAATGAAAAACTGCTTCGCAATAAAAAAGTGATCAAGAATGCGAAATGTGGAGGATATGCATTGCAAACAATTTTCCTCCTCCCCGCATGCCACAATGCTATTTGGCTGCCTGTAATGTGATCGATGCCCGAAATTCAAAGAATTTAACTCCACAACCACACGGACACCGCGCTAAGGTAGCTCGCCGAGTTTATTCGATGTATGCATCGGTTTGTGCCTCCTCGTCTATATTCTTTGTCTGTATTGCCCGTGCCACACAGAACCTGGGGCATTCATGATGAAACGTCGGCAAGCGCACCATCAGGAAATCTACCTTGAGAGTTCTTGAAACATGAGACATAAACTTAAACCCCTCTGGAGCCATCTGCCATGAGAGACATGAGTTCCGGGCTGGCAAGTGTTGAAGCCAAGAAAAGAAGGAAAGACTTGAACTCAAGCATCATAAGGGGTATGAATACAGTTAACAGGCCCTACGCGCTGTGAATTTAACAAACGTTTTTTTCAAAATACCATGGTCATCAAAATCATAAGAGCAAGGGCAATTTCCCCAACTTCACCTCTCCAAAGTGAAGAGTAAACACCCCTGCGATCAAGGCGTAGTTTCCCAACTAGACTTATCCACACTTCATATTTTGAAGAAAGTTTCACAAATACACTTCTCCCCCGTCAAAAGTCTGTCAAAACACACGTATCATAGTCTTCATACACGCAGGGTTTTAATTACACTTATTTGAAGATGCACTTTTCATAGCTGCTTGAAGCACAATTATCTAAAGATTACAGAGTCCTCCAAACAAATGCGTATTTCAGGCGTATGCAAAGATTCCTCAATACACTTGCCCCAAAAGAACGTTCATGTATATGAACATATAGCATATACGTATGTAACCGTATGTATATATATGTATATAAATATGTATAGATATATATATGTAATTGTATATATATGTATATATATTATATCTACCTAATTTGTACGTAGAACATGTCCAATATTTGTGCATTTTCTCAACCTTTCAATTTATACACAAATCTTCCCCGGTACAATGTTAACAGTGCGCAGTTTCCCAAACAAAATTCTCCCAAGTTTCAAAATTTCCAAGACACACTTATATACGCGGAATTTTCCCAAGATGTAAATGTATGTCTCCAAAAATACGCAATCCAGGCTAGTCTCTGAGTAGTGCGCCTACACTTGCCGAATCACCGGATATATTACCATCCCCCTTCATGCGCAAAAACTTCTCCAAATGTGATTCCCCCCAAGGAAGCAATGACAAGCTGGGAGAGGGATGATCTTGCCCCCCGGCCCGATTTTCGGAGACCAGGAACTGAGGGCAAATGCGTGGAATGAACGGCCCAGCAGTCCGGTAACAGGATCACTTTGGAACACAGTTCCCAGCATCACTTTGGAACACAGCTATTTTTGGATTGCTTTGGAACACAAAATGATACATTTTGTCTTGCCACTTGCCACAGTCGACACACAAAACATCAGATTTATACTGAGGCGAAGCACTTTGGAAGCTTCGCGCGTTCCAAAGCGATCCCTCTACCAAAAAAAGGCGCCAATCCCAGACTTTGCGCTTACATCATCACTTCCGCTGTCATGCCTATTACTACTCCCTGGCCTGGGAATTCACTGTGCTCAACTGCTGACCAATTTAGGGTTTATTTGGGAGGGGAGGTCAGTACCAGCCATTTACAGCAACAACCATTTAGGGTTTATCAGGGGGGAACTTCTACTTACATCATCATTTCAGCTTTCTTTCGACAGTTAGAACAGACGACCCAGCCCACTCTGAGGGCTCTTACTTCTCTCTTGCGCTGGCCATCCTTATGCTCACACCAGCCATTTAGGGTTTATTTGCGGGGAAGGGGTGAGATTCACAACCGGCCATGTAGGGTTTATTTGGGGGAGGGGGGGTTCAGAACCAGCCATTTAGGGTTTATGGGGGGGGAACATTCTTCAGCTTTCTTTCCCTCTAAGGGCTTTTGCTCCTCTCTTGCCTTGGTCATCCGTATCCTCACACCAGCCATTGAAGGTTTATTTGGGGGAAGGGCGAAGACAATACCAGCCATTTACAGACGATAAAGAAGATTTTGAGGATGAGGATGAGGATGACGATGATGATGATGATGATGATGATGCTGATGATGATGACGGTGGTGGTGGTGATGATGATGTTGACGATGATAATGATGATGATGATGATGACGGTGATGATGATCATGATGATGATGACCATGATGAGCAGGATGATCATGATGATGAAAAAGAAATAAGCTTCGGTGGTATCCCTAACAGCCGCAACGTTTTATTTTCACAAATCTTTCTGAAGCGTGCTGCGAAGCCAAGTGCTGGAAACCCTCTGCTGAACCTGTTGAACCTGACCTTGCCCGGCACCAAAGATTCCAAAACCTTCTCCGGGACCTTCTCCGCGACTTGGCTTTGCGCCAAGGCTTCCTGGAACCTTCTTCGGAACCTTCTTCGGAACCCTGTTGAACCTGGCCCTGCGCCAAGGCCTCCCACACCTTCACCGGAACCTTCTCCGGAACCCTGGCCTGTTGAACCTGACCTGGCTCTGCACCAAAGCCTCCCGGAACCTTCTCCGGAACCTTCTGCGGAACCTTCTCCGGAACCCTGGAACCTAACCCGGCTCTGCACCAAAGCCTCCCACACCTTCTCTGGAACCTTCTCCGGAACCCTGTTGAACCTGACCTGGCTCTCCACCAAAGCCTCCCAGACCTTCTCCGGAACCTTCTCCGGAACCCTGTTGAACCTGACCCGGCGCCAGTGCACACCGGACCTTTTCTGGGCTGAAGGCCTCATTATCTTACACTGTTGGGGAAAATCATGATGAACAGGATGGCCAGGACGATCATCATGATGATGATGATGATGACGTCAAGGATGACCGGGATCATGACGATGATGCTGATGATGATGGTGATGATGATGATGGTGATGATGTGACGGATATGTGATGGTTGATGGTCATGATGATGATGATGATGATGATGGTGATGATGATGATGATGATGATGATGATGATGATGATGTCGATGTCATAGATATGTGGTTGTTGATGATGGTGATGATGATCATGATGATCAGGCGCATTCCAAGGCGATGCATTCCGGCGCGTTCCAAGCCGATGCTTTTCCGCGCGTTCCAAAGGGAGGACCTTTCCCAGCAATCCCGGATACATCACCTAGCTTGACTCCCAATCGCTGAACACCTATACTATTCGGACTATTCAGACGCTACTGGCCCGACACAAATGACTTGATGCAAATTACACCTTTGTGGCATCAATCAAGTGATACGGTCTGCTTCTTGATTCACGTCTTCATCCAAGTCAGTGGGCACTCAGCATGTGTCCAGGCGGTGCCCGAAAGTCAAGCAACAGAATTCCATAAAGGACGTAGCTGCAAAAGCTATAGAGCAAGCACCCCTGCCGGCCTGACAAAGTTTGGCAATACGTCATTGACTGCAAATTCTGGGGGAAGAACCATGTGGCGTAGTGACCAGAATACCAAAAAACTGGACATAGCCGGACTGACGAACCAAATGGAACACTTGCTACGGAAGCGAAGCTCAACGTGCCAGAGCGCTGCGCTGATGTCACCATCTCCCGGCATATCTTAAATCTTAAATGTCTTGGAGGGGCATCTCTGAGCTCGCCTAGAACTGAAAGCAAAGGCACTGAAAGGAACATGCATCCTGGCCACGTCGACACCTCAGAGCCCACCGAGCAACACCGCACACAAAAAGATAATTTCGGAAGACAGTGATTGCAAACTTTTGTAAACTATTGTAAACTTTTGTAAACTATTGTAAATCTCCAAAGGAATGTAAAGGCGCACGAGGGCGCAATGTTTTCAAACGTTCAACCAACCTGCTTGATGATTGGTGCAAATTGGTGCAATGAAACTGCATGTCAAACCTGCTGCATCAACATGGTTTCAAAGGTGCTTTGCTCATCAATGTTCGCTCCCTTCCCCCTGGACTCTGTTCTCCGAGCGACAAAGAAAAAGCCGTTAGCCATGGAGCCGCAACGCTCTGAAAAGAATGTTGTCGCGTAGACCAGCAAAGTGCCGGTACCTGAGGCGAAGTATGACCATGCAAAGTACTGAACCACTGAACGAATCAACTTCCTGGGAATTTCGATGAATATCAAGTCATAGTCTTACAAGGTTTTACAGGCATTCACAAGCTACATTACCAACTGTAGCTCGATAACGCAGCCTTCCAGGTTTCGGCTTGCAAGGCCAATGCTATTGAACTTCGCATCGTCTTTTCAGCCAACTTTTCTTGTATATATACATCGGGGGTCCTCCACGGCGAAGCCAAAGATAGCTCTTTTTCTGGCCCCAAACGCTGGGTCAGCGTTGCTGTTGTGCTGCACCACGAGCCGCGGCCCAACTTTCGTACAAATGCCTAATCAAGAAAGCGCCAACGGCTCAGGAAAGTGAGCGGCCATCTGGTTAAACACTCTTCTATAATGCATTCGGAATTCCTCGAAGGTATGACGCATCTAAGACATGTTTCTACACGTTCTACAGACCGCCACACTTCCTGTGGGTATAGCAAGCGGTGGCCCGCGCACGCCCCGCTGCGGACCTGCTTTGCCGATGAAAAACCACGGAATCTGACATCGTAGGGCAGCTTTTAAGGCCACCAGTGGTGACGACCATTTTTGCTGGAAATTCCAGTAGCGGCCCCGCTGCGGCCCTGGCGCTTTCTTTGTCTTTCTACCTTCCTGTTGTCTCTTCTTATGCTGGACCCGCTTCAGATTGAGTGCGTGCAAGGCGGCACTGACAATGGAGCTTCAAATTCAAGCAACAATGGTTTCTCTGAACGGGGCCCTTGCAGTAGCATGGCATTCAGATGTTCGAAGCACACCCTCAGCATTTTGCAGCTGCGCATCCGTTGCTCCTATAATATCTTGCAATGTCGCGTGAAGACAATATCACTTTCGCAAACACGCTTTTGGGCCCCAAAATTGCGGCCAACTTTGGCCCCCCAATAACAGCACCGCGCTCTTTGCGGAAGACGCTGCAGGCTCCAAATTTGAGGCCCCAATTCTGGGACCAAGAAAGCCACTGTTGCATGGTGCGAACTTCTACTGCTTGTGGCTTGCTTTGGCAGCGCGCCGTGACTCTAAAAGTTCCTCCGTCCCACATTTCCATTCGTCGTTTGGAAGCATCTTGCCCACACTCCCGCACACACAGTATATACATATGGAAGCCAATCAATACTTCCCAAAGAGTTATCGAAGGAGAAATGCCTAGAAAGAAAATCCTTCATTTTGTAGAGCCTTCGTTCCTGTACAGTCGTTCCACTTTGCCTTCAAAATCTTCCAGTCCATTGACTTGAATCATCTTGAAAACACCTTCTACAAAATCTTGAGATGTTTCAAACGCGTTAACCAAACTGTTTGCCTCAAACGGTTCAAAGCATCGAGGCTCGGACCTCCATGCACTGCGCCAAAGCAGTTTGCCATCAAACGCAGCTGTCCTGCCAAATCGACAGACCCAAACGCCTTACCTGACGTGCCATATTCAGAAACACTGGCCTCAATGTTGGTTGTGAGTGAATATGGGATATAGCGGGCCTGCTATACCGAACTCTTGAATAATGATGTAGCATGAACTAATGATGCTAGGTGAATCCTAAATATCTCAATGATATTTGGCAGAGTAACATCGCAAAGTCATATCCTCAGCCTTATTGGATTGACATAAAACCGAAACTGTCGAAACCCAAATGCCCAATTTGCAAGAGATGGATCTTGATCTTCCATCGAGAATCCAAGCTAGGTGCAATGTGTCGCAGCACCCCCACTGTCCTGTAGTGGAAATTCAAGTTCGTTGAGTTTGGCGTCTTTAGCAGATTTGCTGAAGTTTGCAGCCGACACATCGCTAAAGTAAATGGGCAAAGCGCTTTTCATTCATACCAGTAGTGCCGCACAAGGCGGTGACGGAAGTTTCAAAGGTAGGAAACTATAAGAGAGGTGAGTTGTTGTGATGCATGGATGGCAGAGCGCGTCCACTGATGGACCGAAAGGCGGTTGTGATTTTTGGACTGGTTGCAGTGGTCACCTCACCCACAACTGCAGGATGTAGTGCGGCGTAGCGAAGTGCAATCTAGTTGTAGTTGTAGTTGTAGTTGTAGTGTGTTTGTAGATGTAGCTGTAGTTGTAGTTGTAGTTGTAGTGTTGTTGAAGTTGTAATGTTGTAGTTGTAATGTTGTAGTTGTAATGTTGTAGTTGTAATGTTGTAGTTGTCATGTTGTAGCTGTAGTTGTAGCTGTAGTTGTAGCTGTAGTTGTAGCTGTAGTGTAGTTAAAGTGTTGTTGAACTTGTAGTTGTAGTAATTGTATTAGTTGTAGGAGTTGTAGTTGTAGCTGTAGCTTGTAGTTGCGCTGTAGTCGTAGCTGTTGTTGTAGTGTATATAGTTGAAGTTGAAGTTGTAGCTGTAATTGTAGTCGTAGTGTAGTTTACTGGTAGTGGTAGTTGTAGCTGTGGTGTAGTGGAGGTTGAAGCCGCAGTTGTAGTTGTAGTGTCGTGTAGTTGTAGTTGAAGTTGTAACCTAGTGTAGTCTAGTGTAGTGATAGTTGAATAATATAGTTGTAGTGTAGTTACAGTTGTAGTTGTAGTTGTAGTTGTAGTTACAGTTGTAGTTGTAGTTGTAGTAGTAGTAGTAGTAGTCGTCGTAGTAGTAGTAGTAGGAGTAGTAGTAGTAGTAGTAGTAGTAGTAGCACTAGTAGTACTAGTAGTACTAGTAGTACTAGTAGTACTAGTAGTACTAGTAGTACTAGTAGTAGTAGTAGTAATAGTAGTAGTAGTAGTAGTTGTTGTCGTTGTTGTTGTCGTTGTTGTTGTAGTTGTAGTTGTAGTTGTAGTGTAGTTGTAGCGTAGTTGAAGTTGTAATGTCGTAGTTGTAGTTGCAGTTGTAGTAGTTTCAGTAGTTGTTGTTGTGGTAGTTGTAGTTGTAGTTGTAGTGTAGCTGCAGTTGTCTATCTGTGTGTCTATCTATATAATTATCTGTTTAAATATCTGTGTATCTGTTTAGCTCCCTATCTGCCTGTCTGTCTTTCTAGCCATCTTTCTGTCTGTCTATCTATCTATATCTATCTATCTATCTATCTACCTGTCTATCTACAAGATTGAAAACGAAGCTATTTTGCGAGACTTCCTCAGTTGTTTAACTTGACAACATCAAAAACGCAGCAACTCCGCGAGGTTTCCTCAATTTTGAACTTGACAACGTCAAAAACGAAATTAAAGGACCGGATAACCCCACAAGGCAACTTCTTCCAATAATGAGCACCAAATGTTGTAGCGGGACGGGGAAAGAAGGAAAGACAAAGGAAGTGGTGGAGGATCGAGAAGTAAAACAAAGTTGTGTGTGACAACGTTGTTGTGAAAGATGGTGTGTGTGAAAGTTGTCTGTAAAAGCGAGCGTGTGACAAAGTTGGTGTGCGACAAAGTTGTGTGTGAAAGATGAAATATGGTGTGTGAAAGATGGTGTGATACAAAGTGGTGTGTGACAAAGTGGTGTGTGAAAGATGGTGTGTCAAAGATGGTGTGTGAAAAAGTTGGGTGTAAAAAAAGGTGTGTGACAAAGCGGTGTGTGAAAGATGGTGTGTGACAAAGTGGTGTGTGAAAGATGGTGTGTGAAGGATGGTGGGTGACAAAGATGGTGGGTGTGTGAAAGATGGTGTGTGACAAAGTTCAGGGTCAAATATGGTGTGTGACAAAGTTGTGTGAAAGATGGCGTGTCAAAGATGGTAGGTGAAAAAGTGGTGTGTGAAAGGTGGTGTGTGAAAGATGGTGTGATACAAAGTGGTGTGTGACAAAGTGGTGTGTGAAAGATGGTGTGTCAGAGATGGTGTGTGAAAGAGGGTGTGTCAAAGATGGCTTTGAAAGATGGCGTGTGACAAAGTCGTGCGTCAAAAATCGTGTTGGACAACGATGGTGTGTGAAAGATGGTGTGTCAAAGCGGTGTGTGAAAGATGGCGTGTGACAAAGTCGCGCGTCAAAAATGGTGTTGGACAACGATGGTGTGTGAAAGATGGTATGTCAAAGATGGTGTGTGACAAAGTTGTGCGAAAGATGGTGTGTCAAAGCGGTGTGTGAAAGACGGCGTGTGACAGAGTTGAGTGTCAAAGATGGTGTGTGACAAAGTGGTGTTTGACAAAGTTGTGTGAAAGATGGTGTGACAAAGCGGTGTGTGAAAGACGGCGTGTGACAGAGTTGAGTGTCAAAGATGGTGTGTGACAAAGTGGTGTGTGAAAGATGGTGTGTCAAAGATGGTGGGTGACAAAGTGGCGTGTGAAAGATGGTGTGTGACAAAGTTGAGGGTCAAGGATGGTGTGTGACAAAGTGGTGTTTGACAAAGTTGTGTGAAAGATGGTGTGACAAAGCGGTGTGTGAAAGACGGCGTGTGACAGAGTTGAGTGTCAAAGATGGTGTGTGACAAAGTGGTGTGTGAAAGATGGTGTGTCAAAGATGGTGGGTGACAAAGTGGCGTGTGAAAGATGGTGTGTGACAAAGTTGAGGGTCAAGGATGGTGTGTGACAAAGTTGTGTGTGAAAAGATGGTGTGTCAAAGATGATGGGTGACAAAGTGGTGTGTGAAAGGTGGTGTGTCAAAGATGGTGTGTGACAAAGTTGGGTGTGAAAGAGGGTGCGTGAAAGATGGTGTGTGACAAAGATGGTGTGCGAAAGAGTCTTGAAAGAGATACCCTCAAGATCAAACAAACCCCCTTGTCCGACATATTAGAACCCCGGCTCTGGGGTCTAGGATCGTTTTCCCTTAAAAAACCCAAGGTTTACCAATTTGTGAACGGAGACCATGCTAGAACCCCAAAGTGTACGGAGGGGTAGGGATCTAGAATCGTTTTCCTGAAGCTATAAAATCATGGAAAATTGACATGTTTTTTTGAAGGAATCTCCTTGTTTTGATTCGAAGAAAAAAATGCATTTCATTTGCACACAGTTTTTGTCCTCCGTACGCATTGCACGGTTCAGGTCATCATAATGCTTTGGATTGTTCTGTTTTTGAAGGTTTTTTTTTAAGGCTGCGTCAGGCCCACCTTTTCCGGAAAATATAAGCAGCACCTTTTTTTACAGCGAGGTCGGGATGGATGCAAAAATCGATTGCAACCTTTTGACCCCCTTTCCCCCCACAAAGACTGTGTCGTCCAGTCATCTTTTGAAATCACCCTCTTCCTTTTAAAACATATCTTACCGCATTACAGTCTGGCAAGACTATCGCATTGAAGGAAAGATTGCCTTGCCCATGACCAGTCTCAAAACTTCCTGGGCCATCAGTCTCTCCCTTTCCTTTGTTCTCCGAAAATTCTCTATCAAATGTGTTGCAGACGGATGTAAAATGCAGAAGCGGTGTGACAAAATTGCTAAGTTTGGGTTACAGCTGGCCATCAGTCAGCACCTGTGGGTCTAAAATAGTTGCCTTCAAGCTCCAAAAAACATTTTGACACGCATTGACCTGGGGAAGATGATTATAGACCCGTGTCCTTCTTTCTAAACCGCTTGGTTGAACCAAAAGTGCTGGTATCTAAAGAATGTGCAGAAGGATGTAGAATGCAGAAGGGATGTCAAAGGATGGCTAGGCGGCTATGTTGGCTTATAGCTGGCCATTAGTCAGCACCTGGGGTTCTAGAATGGTGGCCTTCAAGCTCCAAAAGCGTTTCTGGGGAAGATGACTATAGACCCGCGTCCTTCTTTCCAAACGGTTTGGTTGAACCAAAACTGCTGGTATCTAAAGAATGTGCAGAAGGATGTAGAATGCAGAAGGGATGTCAAAGGATGGCTAAGCGGCTATGTTGGCTTATAGCTGGCCGGCCATCAGTCAGCACCTGGGGTTCTAGAATGGCGGCCTTCAAGCTCCAAGAGGGTTTCTGGGGAAGATGACTATAGACCCGCGTCCTTCTTTCCAAAAGGTTTGATTGAACCAAAAGTGTTGGTACCTAAAGAATGTGCAGAAGGATGTAGAATGTAGAAGGGATGCCAAAGGATGGCTAAGCGGCTACGTTGTCTTATAGCTGGCCATCAGTCAGCACCTGGGGGTCTAGAATGGTTGCCTTCAAGCTCCCCAAAAGCACTTGACACGCACTGACCTGGGGAAGATGACAATAGACCCGCATCCTTTTTTCCAACCGGCCTTGTTGAACCAAAGTGTTGGTATCTAAAGAATTGAGGTGTTGGGTGGAAACACACTGGCGCATCACTGCAGGTTGCTCATCACAACTCGACCTGGCATTTGCTTTTCCAAACAACATTGGCATTGTGTGGGAGGTTGAAGGTAATGGTGAGGCTCGTGTTTTTTCAATTGCGGATGTTGCCGGATATAATTCAATACCTTGTTTATCATTGCACATTGCTGCAGCTGCTCAACACCGTTTTAGCTCCTTTTTTCAGAAATTTCAAACCAATCGACATTGAAACCACCTGGTTTTGAAAATGGAAATCTTGATCGACCAAAACCAGGGATGCTAATTCCAAACATGTTTTGCACCTTCGGGCAGAGACCTCATCATGACTTGGTTCCTTTTTCTGCACTCCAAAACAATGACCTTTCTTGTGGTCTGCTAGAATCAATTCATACCACAACAGGGCTCATATATCCAAGCTTTCAGGGTTCTAAAATGAGAGCCTTTAAAAGTTCTAAAATCATAGTGGTGATGATTTTAGAACCTTCAACGGGAACCCCAGGGGGGTGGGGATTCTAGACACCTCGATCTTGAGGGTATTGAAAGAGGGTGTGTCAAAGATGGTGTGTGAAAGATGGTGTGTGACAAAGTGGTATGTGAAAGATGGTGTGTGACAAAGATGGTGTGTGACACCAGAGCCGGCCCAGTGCCCTAAGTGACACGCCTGGCACGCAAAACGAAGGCAGATGTCGCCAAGTGCCACGCCTGCCACGCAAAACCAAGGTAGATGTCGCCAGGTGCTGCACCTGCCACGCAAAACGAAGGTGGATGTGACCAAGGGCCACGCTTGCCACGCAAAACCAAGGTAGATGTCGCCAAGTGCCACGCCTGCCACGCAAAGTGCCGCGGCGTCACCGGCGACCAATGCAGTCCAAGCGCGCCACCAGAGCCAGCCCAATGGCCTAAGTGCCACGCCTGCCACGCAAAACGAAGGTGGATGTCACCAAGTGCCATGCCTGCCACGCAAAACGAAGGTGGATGTCACCAAGTGCCACGCCTGCCACGCAAAGTGCGACGAAGTTGTATATGAAAGATGGTGTGTGACGACGTTGTGCGCGCCACCAGACCCAGCGCCTGCAACGCAAATCGCGAGTGAAAGGCTCCAAGTGGCACGCCTGCCGCGCACATGGTACGTGGATGTCGCCGAGTGCCACGCCTGCCACGCAAAGTGCCGCGGCGTCACCGCGCGACCAATCCGGGTGTGACAAAGCTGGTTGTGGACACAGATGGGTGGTGGACAAAGATGTGTGTGAGATGTGTGACAAAGATGGTGGTGGACAAGATAGTGGTCGACGAAGATGTGTCCTGCCACGCAAAGTTCAACGCCTGCCACGCAAATGGTAGGTGGATGTCGCCGAGTGCCACGCCTGCTACGCAAAGTGCCGCGGCGTCACCGCGCGACCAATCCGGTCCAAGCGCGCCACCAGACCCTGCCCAGTGTCTCCAGTGCCACGCTTGCCACGCAAATGGCAGTTGGATGTCTCCAAGTGCCACGCCTGCCACACAAATGGCAGGTGGATGTCGCCGAGTGCCACGCCTGCCACGCAAAGTGCCGCCGCGTCACCGCGCGACCAATCCGGTCCAAGCGCGCCACTAGACCCAGCCCAGTGTCTACAGTGCCACGCCTGCCACGCAAATCGCAAGTGGATGTCGCCGAGTGCCACGCCTGCCACGCAAATGGCAGGTGGATGTCGCCGAGTGCCACGCCTGCCACGCAAAGTGCGGCGGCGTCACCGAGATGTGTGACAAAGATGGTGGTGGACAAGCTAGTGAGATAGTGGTGGACAAAGATGTGTGTGAGATGTGGGAGATGTGTGTGAGATGTGTGACAAAGATGGTGGTGGACGCAGATGAGTGGTGGACAAAGATGTGTGTGAGATGTGTGACAAAGATGGTGGTGGACAAGATAGTGGTGGACGAAGATGTGTGTGAGATGTGTTATGTGAAAGATGATGTGTGACAAAAAGTGTGGGTGATGGGCAAAGGTGTGTGTGAGATGTGTGACAAAGATGGTGGTGGACAGAGATGTGTGTGAGATGTGTTGTGGGAAAGATGCTGTGTGACATGTGTGTGACATGTGGGAGATGTGTGTGAGATGTGTGACAAAGATGGTGGTGGACAAGATAGTGGTGGACGAAGATGTGTGTGAGATGTGTTGTGTGAAAGATGATGTGTGACAAAGATGTGTGTGACATGTGTGTGAGATGTGTTGTGGGAGGAGGCGGGTGGGCGGAGGAGGCGGAGGCGGGCGGAGCACCCGGGATACAGAATCAAAAACAAGAATCCCACAAAGTTGTGGGGAACAAGTGTGCGAGACTTCCGCAATTTTTCGAAGTTGGCAACATCAAAAACGAAGCAATTCTGCGAGACTTCCTTCAAAAATGGAAAGTTGAGTGCAGAGCTGACGGCCTCGTAACAATGCGTTTTGCATTTTTTCCATTCCATCTGTCTAAAGTAATACGCATGCCACCAAAAAGTGAGGCCAGGTCATACGAAGTGCTGTGCCAGTCACACAAAATCATCTTACCAAACCTGAAGATCTGATGCTCCAAAACGCAACCGCTCTCAAGGAATCAGCGCCCGGATCTCCTAACATCTCTGATGAACATGTCTCATGTACCGCGCCTGCCACGCAAAATGCATCTTTGCAGATCCTCTGCAAATGTCATACCCGCGCCTGCCAACGTTTTTGAAACTGCCACAAAACCCTCACGTTTTGCTCACTTTTGACAAGGTGCAAATCCCTTGCGCCTGCCATATGAACGTCCAAGAGTGGTCCGGGACCGTCAGCTTTTAAAACTTTTGACTTGGAAATGTGCTTCGTGCCACAACGGTGTGCGCTTTTTCCATATCTCAACTTCCAAATGTGTTCCGAACATGAGGTGTTTTGCGCAGTTTGACTTCGAAATGTGCTTTGCGCCACTACGGCGTGCAATTTTTCACCTCTCATCTGGCCAGATGGCTCCGCACCCGCCGCTGTAGCGAGCCTACTTTTCGACCCTTCGGAGCCACAAACCATTGGAAAAACACAGTGGCTCCTGGCTTTTCTACCTTTTCGCCCACCTGCATCTTCTTTCTTCTGACTCTTTCTTCTGACTCTTTCTCTTCTCTGATCTTCTTTCTTCTTCTCTTCTCTTCTCTTCTCTTCTCTGGCTCTTCCCACCTCTGCTTTTCCATCTGTCCATATTGTTGGAAGTTTGACTTCTAAACTTCCTTCGAGAAGCCTATACTAGTAGAGCCCCTTTTTATGTATATGTATATGTATATATATATATTATCCCGGCAAGAGACCCCAAACAGTGTGTAGTTAGGACCCCAATTTTTACGCTGTTGCTCTTCACCATTTGGAGCCATAACAGAGCTGGCTTTCCCTTTTCTTCCACTCAATGCAGTGCAGCATGATTGACAGTTGGCTACCACAAGATGTGGAACCTGAGTCTGGGCCTAGGCACTTACCGAACACATAGGAAGTAGCATGGCTGTGGTAGCTGCGTGCATGTGCTCCTTCAATCGCATCCTTGTCGATCTCAGCACTTGTGGATCTTCCGAGACTCGTCTCCATTGCAGAACTCAGATGAGCTCAGCTGAGGGGGTTCCAGCAGAGGTTTTCCCGCTGAAGTCCCAGGGGCACGTGCGGCTGCACTTCCATTCCGAACTTCGAATTGCAAAAGATGCACAGGTGAAAGTAATATAAGTAATCTAAACGTGAAGATTCGTGAAGATCTAAAAATCTTTCAGATTCAACTCTGGTGGGGGCAGCCGCAATTCTCTCGTGCAACTCAAAGTTCGGTTGGCGAATTTGAGCCTGTGAGAGTGGCAATGTCTCCCTTCTCAAGAACATCAGCAGGTTTGGGCATTCCGAAAAAGTCAAATCCTCCGGCCTATGCCGGCGTGTTTCCTGTGATGTGTTGTGATGATGGTTATGTCAATGAATGTACTTGGCACTCAATTCTCCTATGAATGTACTTGGCACTCAATTCTCCTCTGCGCGGATTTCTGCTTCGCCTGATTGTAATTGTAACGGACCTCCCCCCTTCCCCTCCCCCTGCCGCCTGATGTGCTGCTATGAACACATGTTTGCGATGTCTTCTACGTAACGCTTTGGAACCCCTTGCAACCCCTTGCCTCCGAGATGTGCTGCTATGTGAACAGGGGAAGAATTTTGATATCTGCTTCTTCTGCATTTGCGCGTCTTGACTCCTAATTACTTGCTGCGTCGCATCCCATCATTGCTGCATCTTATTTCCTGCTCCTCGTTCCTGCCTCGAGGTCGCTGCTCGCTCACGCAACCCTGGTTGCGCCAGCATCGTTACTGCCGCTGGAAGGTCCCTGCCATAAGGCCGGCGGAATCTGCCGAAGGCTGTAAAAAATGTTGCATGATGCTGACTGACTCTGCGCGCAGATTTGTTCAGAACGTGAGCGTCACTTGCATGCGCAGGCCCGCAATATTCTTAGGGGGCCGGTTCCTGATCAAATGTTCTTTACAAACCGGTGATAAGCAAATCACATAATACAAGTGTTGTAGGCGGTAACCAACTGCTCATATGCTTATGTGAAAGGTCAATGTTGTTGTACGCAATATCTGTGCCAACAAATTGCTTTAGCTGCTGACTGCAGTTCCAGTAACACTTTCAATAATCGGAATCGTTGAAACGTGTGAAGCAGTATTCAGACATATGGTAGACTTGGAGTTACAATGTGGAACCACTGCACGAAGTCTAATCGACAAGTTCGCTGCAGCGCTCTTTGACTCCACGCAACTCAACCCTCAGAGGAAGCTTTGGAATTGCGCGGCCCGATCCTTTTCAAACCTGCGCTGCGTTTTGGCGTTTTGTGCTTTGACCGCTTCAAAGAGCTTCAAAGAGCTTCAGAGCTTGGTCCAGATACGTCCAGATCTGTGTTTCTCTTCAGTAATCTATATAAGGCAGTGCGCGCATGGAGATCCATTGTGGCAGCATCCAAACTATCAACATTGACACAGGCTCAACGATTTCTCAATTTTTGGTAGCAGAATATAGCATGAACATCCATCAAGATCACCAAGATTTGTTATATACGTATACTTGGTTGGGTTCGAAGCTTACCAATCGGGTTTGTGCTGTGCCGAGGGGCTCAAGCTTCATGTGCAAACTTTGTCTAAGGTGAAGAGCTTGACTCCTCAGGTTTGAATAGCTCACACTTCGGATCACTTCAGTTGAATTGAACATTTGCACCATTTGCACTCACAAATGGCCAACATGAATCAAAATGGACCAACCAGGGCACGAAGACATTAGCAAAAAACATGAACGATGACGACCTGAGGCAGTCAACAGCTGCCCGTGTGTGGCCTCTCTGTAACCAAGCACGGGGCTGCAAAGTGAAAACGATGCCCAGGAATCCCATTGACTCCTGGCAGGGCCCAAGAACCGCAAGAGCCAAGGTGACAAAGTAGTGCGAAAGTGAAGGCCGACCACCTACGGTCTTTCAAACATAGTCGTGATTCCACGGATAATTGGCAAGAAATTGAACGTCCCTTCTGGCAAGGCCAGTAAATGGATACAGTCCGGAACCAAACTGTTTTGACTTTGTAGTCACGGCTAAAAATATGCGAAGGAAGATGCCAACTTGCACAACCAGTACGCAAGATCTGCTGTGGCACAGCCAAATCAGGATGGGAAAACGCATTCTCTTTTTGGTATTGTCAGATGGAGTTGAGCTCGCCTCAGCGACTTCAGGCGAAACCAAGCTCGGCAACACTGTAGCCTCACAAGGTGGGGGGTCAAACTGCAAACTCCTTGAACTTCAAGAAACGGGCGACCCAAATCCAACTTGAAGAGCCCACACGTTGATCATCGTTTTATTTTGTGTTTTCAGTCTGGCTCTGCGATCTCTGCTAGTCCGGCCTCGGGGTTGTTTGGCCACCCCAATTGTTGGCCGAATGGAAACTCTCGCCAACCTGTCCAAATTGGACGCGAGACAGCTATGCTACAGCTGTTTCTTGTTTATTTATGTCCAAAAAAAATACAATACGAGTTGTTGTCCAGCAACATGAAGTTTAAAGATACAGACTAAGGCAATTCATTTTCTTTTTGAAGGAGCCCTGGGTTTTCTGAAGGCTATAGACTGCGACATCTCTTGAAGATAATCTGCTACATACACCAACTTATCGCTCTTGTCTACCACAAGTGTCTGTTCAAATCTCAATTCCCTTAGACATTTTCGCTGGCTTCAGACTCCCTCGGGTATTTGCCTTCTGGACCCTCTAGGTAGACCTCAGCGCGAGGCCAGCAGGCTTCAAACAGACAATCCTCCAAACAATGAGTGGATTGTTTTGAAACGGTGAAGAAACACAAGGACACTTACTTCTGCACGTGTTTCTGCTTCATGATCCCTGCTTCAATTAGTGCTACTGCGCCAGTGCTTGTATGAAGCTTCACTTAGAGGACCGGGTAATCCCACACATCAACTTCTTCCAACAAGTAAGTACCATAGGGGAAATAAACGTAGGTGATGCAGCTAGCTTGTACTTCATGCTGTGGGATCAGAGGATCTCTTGCACGTAGAGGTCAAAAAAGCGGAGAGGTCTGAATATCAGCGTGATTTTTTGAAACATATTTGAAAAAGGACGTCAAGAAGTATCAAGAAGTATTCAAAGAAAGTGACGTTGAAGTCTGAGACGAAGCAACTGGAGTGTGAGCTCAATACAGATGGCGCAAATCGCAGGGTTGTATCCCGGTTGCAAACGTGAGACAAATGAAGAGTGGTGAAGCAAGAGTAAGAAAGAGCAAGAGGGGTGAATGTTGTGTGTGACAATATTGTCATGTGACAATGTTCTATGTGACAATGTTGTGTCTGACAATGCTGTGTGTGAATCAGTAGTGTGTGACAATGTTGCGTGTGACAATGTGGGAGGAGGAGAAGGAAAAAGATAAGCAGAGAAGAAAAACAAGAACACCCACACAATGATGTGGGGAAAAACTTAAAATCCTGCATGTTTGATCTTCCATGTTACAAAATGATGCAAAACAATATAACATGATATAAAATGAAAATATATCATATATATATATATATCATATATATGTTTTTTTCATAATATAATATCGTATATATAATACTATATTAAAAATATATATTTTATATATATAATATTAATAGATGCGTAAGAACCCCCAGCATGGGTCTTAGATGAGTTCTTTTGCGAAGCCAAGCATTGAACCTCTGTGCTGCTACCGACTTGCAGTACTCACGATGTTTGCATGTTTACTCACGATGTTTGCATGTTTAAGGCGATGTGACTGCGCCAATGCCTTGTATAAATTTTGCCCGCTTGTGTATATTGGCACTCTTACATGTAAAAAAAAACATTTGCATTCACATCTTCGTCCTCTCTGCCCTGCGGCAAGTGCCCCCGCTGCGCTGCCAAGGCACGCGGTCCACAGTCCAAAGGCTTGGGGAATCATTCGCCTTGCTTCGCATGTTTCGTGCAAAAATAGATTTACACAAACAGAATGGCATGGGACGATGCGTGATACTTTGATGATAGGTGATGTCCGTTTATCATTGTTCATCATGAGTGCGCGACAGTCTCAATTCCTGAGTATCAACTTTAAAGAACCGCAGTCTACACATTTCTAAGATAGGAGTCAAGCAGAACAGCACCTAGTATCCATTCAGAAACAAACAATTTATATATATATATATAGACACATATATATATATATATACATATATATATACATATATATATACATATATATATACATATATATATACATATATATATATATACATATATATATCAATATATGTACAGTATGTAAGATATTGTAATATACACACCCTATCCCTCTGGTCCTCTCACATTTTTGCGTTCAGTGTTTGACATCGTTGACTCTTTCAGCTAGAAACTTCTTTGTCTGTACGCACCTCTTTCTGCATGAGCTCAGATATTGAGCTGAACTTCATGTTCTGGTTCGTTCCGATCGTCAATTTTTTTTTCAGTGTTCTTCCCGGCTCTTCTTCCTGATAATTGGGAAAAGGGTTCCGAATGTCTGAAGACGGAAAGCCTAAACTCAAATTGGTGGAAGCTGTACTGTCAAAGAACAATTTGATCGAAACCTTGAGGACTGGAAAAACAACTTTTTACATGGATGCCGCTCTGTCTCACAGAAACAACTGCAACAAGCCCTGAAGAAAACCCATGCGCAGTTGTTGCACAACTTTTGCATCCTGACAATAACACACCTCATTGTTGGTTGCGACGTCCAAACGGAATAGAATAGAAGGCCGGCAAAGAGTATCGTCAAAACTTGAAGCAGTGGGCTCCCATGACAGGATTGTGAAGCTGTTTCAGCTAGAGCGTGTGAATGTCGTGCATTTGTGCCGCGCAAATTCCTTGTCCCACAGCCGATGTTGGGTCGAGATCAAGAGGTTTACTCCGACAATCATGTCACATGCAACGTCGCATAGTGTAGCAACGAGCGAGGAAACTTGAAAACTTATTCAAAACATGATCTGCATAGAATTAGCCATGGCCATGTCTGAAGCATTCTACGGTTGGCTGATGTTCGCTGGGTCCATGTACAAAAGGGCGAAAAGGATCCCAATGAAAGCTCGATTTGATTTCCAAATATCTCCCAGGATGATTTCGATGTCTCAGGCTCAGCAGCTGACCAGTCGGATCGTGTCAACCTGACCCACATCCTGCACAGATTTACCAGGGGCCAGGAGGTAACCCTTTGCTCTGTTTTAACCATGAAACCACTGGATCGACTTAGTAAATGATGCAAGTATACAATGCTGGCCTGACTGTGAAGAGGATGCTTCGGAATCTCATCACGGCCATACGGCCATATTATCAAGATCAAGCCCCTTAGACCGTTCTGATCATGGGAGGTGATAGGAAGATTTCTCGGGTCTTGGAATTCCAAACACATAAAGCACAAAGCAGTGGCTTTGGCTACTGTCATGGTAGTCTCTCCAAACTCCCAAACTCTGAATAACGAGGCCTGCCCTGATATACTTTCAACATTCAAACTGAATGCCACATCTGACTGCCTTATTTCAGCATGCCTCATTCCTCTACCCTGCGTGGACAGTCAAGCACTTTGCCTTGGCAAAAATGGAGAACTCAGTTCTTTCCGAATCCTCGGTGCTCAAAACACGGTCGCGTGAAACAGGATGTCTGGAGAACACAAATCACGCACGCTGTACCAGTGCGGATGTACTTGTTAGGAACAGAGTACAGATATCTACCCTACCTAAACTACCCCCCCCTCCCCCCCTCAAAATAATTTCCAAAATTATTTTCAGGGGGTTGATAGTGTCTTCGGTTGTTTTACGAAACAACCCTCTTTAGGGTAAAATAATTTCTTACGATAGACCCCCCCCTCCCCTTCATCGACGGTGGTGAACCTTCGTAAAAATTATTTCAACCCCTGGAGAGTTAATTATTTTGCCCCCCTCCGGAGACTCCAATCTTTACATATGTATACTCCCCTACCCGACATGATCGCCTTCGCAGGTGTACCGGGGATATTCCATTCCTTCAAGAAAAACGCGGGGCTATCAACCAGGTTTTGGAATATGTTTAAAGAAACATATTGTTGAATAATTTTCCTAAGCAGTGGGCCTACGGATGTGCATATTGGAATATGCGAGTTATAATCTAAGCCTTCAATATACCCTGGAATAACATGGAATAACTATGTTTTGAAATAATTTCATCTAAATTATAAATGGTTGAACCAAAAAAAATAAAAACAAATAAAACCTTGGGGATTCCCGCAAAATGATGTTCAACCATCATCTTCATCACTGGCTCTTTCCTACATATTTCCATTTTTTCATACTTCCCCACATTTCTCTCACATTCCCTTCATTTCCTTCCAAAGAACACTCGGTGGGAATGAGAGTGAAAGGGAAAGCATTCGGTGTTTATAGTTTTTTTTCAGCTGGCAGCTGCTCACTTTGATTTTCGAGGAGTGCAGGGTATCTCCAATACCCCTAGAATAATTTCTCCCCTTGGGAAATCCCACGGAATGGTATTCAACCTGGCCCTTTCCTGTAGTGATTTTCCTAACCTGTCATATTTCCCATTATTTCTCCCATATTCCTTTCATTTCCCTCCAAAGAATTCATTTTTGGGAAGCGTTCGGTTTTGATAGGTTTTTCATTTTTTTCCAGTTTCTGGGGCGAGTTGGATGGTTCTGGCAGCTGCTTACCTTGATTTTTGGGAAGTGCAGGATATCTCCACTACCCCTAGAATAATTTCTTCTCTTGGGAAATCCCACAAAATAGTATTCAACCTGGCCCTTTCCTGTAGTGATTTTCCTAACCTGTCATATTTCCTTTTTCTTCTTCCATATTCCCTTCATTTCCCTCCAAAGAACTCTTTTTTGGGAAGCGTACGGTTTTGATAGGTTTTTCATTTTTTTTCCAGTTTATGGGCGAGTTGGATGGTTCTGGCAGCTGCTCACTTTGATTTTTGAGGAGTGCAGGGTATCTCCAATACCCCTAAAATAATTTCTCCGCTTGGGAAATACCACAAAATAGTATTCAACCTGGCCCTTTCCTGTAGTGATTTTCCTAACCTGTCATATTTCCCATTATTTCTCCCATATTCCCTTCATTTCCCTCCAAAGAACTCTTTTTTGGGAAGCGTTCGGTTTTGATAGGTTTTTCATTTGTTTCCAGTTTATGGCGAGTTGGATGGTTCTGGCAGCTTCCCACTTTGATTTTTGAGGAATGCAGGGCATCTCCAAGATCCTTTGAATAATTTCTTAAAGAACGAGTTTGGTTTCGAGTTGCAAGTTTTGATGCGTTCTTGCTGCAACTTAAGATTGAGGGGAGATTCTGACATGACTACCAGGGAGCACACATGAAACATGATGTTGAATTTATTTGCGTTGTAGGATTCGCAACGCATCAATCCTAAAAAACAAAAAACCTAAAACATAATAAGCCACTTTTGCAAGTCCAACATTGCGCAAGATGGGATATCGCATTGTTCTACATCGTTTCCTCCGAAAGTTACAACACTGCCATCACTGCGAAGAAGTGCTGTGTGAACACAGCCTGCAGAAACTTGAGTGTACGACATTCCTTCATCCAAAGGTGGAATATGCCATCGGATCAAAACAAGGTCAAACACCAAAATTATTTTGTTTTTTTTTTTGCTGTGAGAGTGTTTTCGTCAAAATTATTTTGAGGGGGGGTAACCCATCAAAATAATTTCCAACCAGAAATTATTTTGGTGATGGTTAGAGTCTATAAATCTATACATCCAACATGTTAGATTTTTGAAATTATTTTCAAAAAAACATTTTGGAGGGTAACCCCCCCTGAAATAATTTCATTAAGGTAGGAGGGATGTACAGATCATCCGTAAAGATTGTGCCTGGTACAAAACAAAACAACACACCCATTCGGGCTTATGCACGGATTCATTCATACAGTACGTCAATATGTGGGCATCTACGGGTTCTTCCCAAACTTGTACACACGCGTAAATATCATTATACAACTATCTACATGTGCACCTCATGATCCTCATGTAAACATCCAAGTAATTATGTCAGCAGATCCGACTGGCGGGGGTCATCAACCAAAACATCAAAGGACTGGTGCGAGAGCCGCTGGCCGAGTGCGAAAGAGTACAATATGTCTCCTCAAAACATGCGCGAAAACCGCAAACCACGAATCATGAGAAGCTTCCTGTGGATCTGGCATTGAAGCCATTCTTCAAATGGATGAGCCCAGTTTTGCCGCGATTTCCCTGGGCTGCGCTAAGGGCGGACAGCATGAGAACTGGCTCGGTCGCAAGTAGTGAAGCTTCCAGTGGTTTCCTGTGATGCTTTCGAGTTGCACGTTGCACTGAGTAGCACTGAGTTGCAAATACCAATGGTATCCGATGCTCCCCACCTGCATTTGGATGAAGATGTCACCCCGGGTACCGCTGCCAGGCCTTGCGGTAGAGGTCAGAAGATGGTCGAAGAGTCATTAGCTCTTGGTACTTCAACAACTTCGTATCACTTTCGTGTATGCAAGGCATATGCAAGGCATATGCAAGGCATATGCAAGGCATACTCAAGGCATCCTCGGCACAATAATAACTTCGCATGAAAAGGTCAGGGTTTGGGGCAATTTTGGTTTGTGTTGTTTTACTTTTGTCATTCGAATGAATCCTAAAGGTTCGGGCAAAGGTCGGCAAAGGCGGCTGAGGGAGCTTCATCTCTTCTTCTACTCAGCATCTCGTGAAAACTACAATCACAATCAAGACTAGACCCCCTGAGAGTTATACTCCTCTTTACATAGTCTGGACGACAGTCTGGACATGATCCTTTGTCAAACTTGGAGCTCTAAACCAGCATGCAACATGTTAAAAAAGGCAATCAACGTAAGAATAATTCTGCCGAGTCAGGACAGCATCCTGAAAGCATCCAAGAAGTTTCCATAAAGTAAGGCCGGCAAGACATTTAGTTCCGATTAGGTTGCTCCAGATTATCACATTTATAATCATCTCGAATATTCTCAAATCATCTCAGCCTACACACATCGACCCCTTTTCGGATATTTCGGACTGTGCCTTGTGCCCATACAAAAAATCGCTTCCCTAGAGTGTACCAAGCTCATAGCACCAGCGCATCCACCATGATCCAACTGCATCACTCTATCCAACCTCATATCGGTGTCCACCAGCAATCGGTACTCTTTGAAGATTGGCCTGGGATCAACTTGCTATAATAGCAGCATCACTGCAACTGACAACTTGTCGTGATACATGTTCACCACATTTGAGTCTGTCCGTCACTAAAACTATGCCAAACACTGTCCAAATGTCCACTTCTAAGACTCTCAAAATGTCTGACACCGACACAATAAAAGTCAGCTGACGTCAGTCCCACGTAAGGTCAAGGGACTGCTTCATTTTCAGAAAGTCCTGAGCTCTTTGAACTTCGAAGCATTGCCACCCACGGCCCACGGTGACAACAAAGCAAATCGTTTCATATGCTATGCATCGAATGAAAATCCATCCTCGATTCCCCCTCCGCCGTGGTCAGGATTCCCTTCAAGCTCATCTTTGCCTGTCAATGGGGTGCTTTTGAGCCGACCTGGCGAATTTGTTGATATCGAAACGTTGACCCAGAATGATACCGTTCCAATCTGCCCTAGCTTGGGATTAGTTCCGACGCAACTGGCTATGATCGGTCGGCCTGCAATGAATTTAGAACGGTGAGCTGGAAAGGATATTAAAACATGAAAGCCAAAGCCCCGTTCCAAATGTTCCAAAAACCTAGCAGGTGCAGCATGTCTTTTGGTGCTTTTGACTCCGCAAAGCAATTTCTTTGTGCAAGGAAAATGCTGCATCAGCATTATCAAAGTAAAACAAACCATGCAAGCAATTGGCGTCCTTCTGTTGCACGATTGAAGCAGTTGAAAACATGGAAAACACATGAGGACGCTTGGGAGCTTGTGGAAGACATCAAGTGTGATGCAGGACAAGTCTCAGACAGTTCAAATTCGTGTCATGAAATAAGAGACTGCTGACCGGCACACTTACAGCAATCCCTGGCAGGTTTTTCGACAAGAGTTGCCACAGCCCAGAGAACACTCAACAGCCCAGCTCTTTCAAGATTTGTGCAAAGAGTGAGACCACGATGCATGCGTGTCTGTGGAACGAAAAAAAGGATCGACTGAACGTAAACTGCAAAAACAGAGCGGGTCTGAAAACATGTAAGCCAGCACCTTTTCCCGAGTCTTTTTGATGTGACTAGCATCGTTTCAAACAACAAGAACGCATGCTCAAAGAAAGTAACGCCCCTTGCGCTGTTTGTCTGTTAACGCCTGCGAAGGAAAGTTCTGCAAATGGGCCAAAATGGCACAAATTGGATGCGCTTTGTTCGGTATTCCCTCGCAAATCCAGCAGAACCCTCTATTCATTCTATTCAACTCTGTGGCAAAAAGTGTCAAGGCATGCGCTGATGGGAGTACATGTTCTCCTCGATTTTAGGCTTTTGCTTTTAATGTCAGGGTAGCAAGGCGCTGGTCACCAAAAGTTGCATTGATGACCAATGAATGAATGGCCATGGAAATGGAAAAGACATGCGTCCAATGCTATTCTCACAAAGTACTTCCAATCTCTGCATCCATCAAACGAAAAGACACTCAGGCGGTGATGCGTTTGAAAAGGTCACACAGCAGCTGGTCTCTTTCTTCGAAGGTCCCTAAGGCTAAAAGCTGAAATTCAGGTGATGCATTTTGGGAACGTCCTTTAGGATGTCACAAAATGGAAACACGGCAGAGCAGGAGCAACAAAAAATCCGTACTGTACAGATCCGAATTAGCATACCGACAACTACGCTGGATGCCGTACATGGTATTGTATGATACTAGTATGTCTGACATGAAACCTTTGAAAGACCCAAAGATCTTCCACGTAAAAGCATGAAACCCCTCCCTGCCATGAACAACCGTACACCACCAGCTAAAACAATGACATGGACGCAAGCATATCAATGCCATTGCTTGATTTCTTGTGGTATCTTCCCCTCAACATACTTGGAAATCACCAGTCCCTGGAAATCACCTGTCCCTCAAACATCCCCTGAGCATATTTGCACGTAACATCATGTCACGACATGTCACCAATAACTACTTGGCATAGTAGTCCATGATAGTCCACGCGTCCATTCAGGGCACACCCCACCCAGCCCGAGACAGTTTGCCAGTCACAGAACTGCAAATTGAGGAATTTGAAGATAGCGTGGAAGAACCATTGAGAACAATCTTAGACGGATCTTGGAGGAATCTTGGAAGCATTGAGAACTCAAACAGTGAGCTATTTCAGGAATTGCCAGCCCCCAGCCCCCACATGCATTTGCAATGATTTGCATGTACAAGCACTTTCTCGGTCGTCACTTATTGTGCGAAAATGGAACATAGATTGCACATAGATTGCTAGTCAAGTGTCCCATGTGGATCGTTTCAGATGGGCGCCGTTCCGATCCCAGAATTCACTCAGTTGTCACGCCTAGCAGCGTTTCCTCGAGCCTCAATCGACCCAGGGTTGATGACCAAATTGTTTTTGAAAGAAGTACTTTGGGTTGTGAACCACAACATCAACAACTTTCTATGCCTTGGAAGTGCCATACACCCACGTTGTACCTGTTGCTACTTCTATAATACCCATAATCATAGACAATGTTCGTTGACTTTCGCTGCTATCACGCTGATTGCTTCTGTGTCATGCCCAGTGGCTCTTCAGTCTCCTTGGCCGCAGCATTCTCTTCATGTCGATGCTTGTGCCCCTGCGACGCCTGCCCATGAGATTGTGAGCTAAGTAAGGTCTCGTCCAATTCAGTCCGAGGATAACCCATCCCTGGTTGCGAAATGCAAAGGCAGTAGGGCCAAGAAGCATCTCGACTGCATTTTCACATCTTGCTTGGATTTCAATGTAATGTGGGGCTCTCTGGAAGCTCAATTTGAGGGATGGATGAAGACATGAAGAACCCTAAAACCAAACCCATATCGTAGTGCTAGTCTATGAACATTTGAATTCTGCTCTAACGAAGATAGTATGCAAAATTTTGGCCCTTGTCACTGCGAATTCGCACGCTCCCAACCGGAAGTCTTACTACCTTAGGACAGCCAATAAATTCTTTTCCAACTGGGCTTTGCAATGTTTAATGATGATTATCAATAGTTCATGTTGCTCAAAGACCTTTGTTTTGGTCCTACTTAGTCCATGCTCCTATCAGGTGACCCGCCCCGCCTTCGCCTTGCCTGACAGCTCCGTGTCTGAACATGATGTTTGAACCAGTCCGTTGATGGACCGCTTGAACTGTTCCGAGATGTTGAGTTCCTGTGTAGATCCTCTTTACATCACAGAACCCTCATCAAATCCTCACTAAAGCAAGCTCCAAAGCAATCCAAAGCAGGTGCAGATGCTGAACGCAAGACTCAGAAGACCGTGCAAGTCCCCCAACCTCCTTTCCCCGCTGGAACCTCGGCTCCCACTGGCTGCGCTTTCTCTGAAAGTATCAAGCTTGCTTTACGATGCTGGAAGGAGCCAGACCCTTTGGCAATGTGAAGACGCTGCCTCTTCACTTTATACAATTAGTTGATTGGCTTGACGAAAGAATTGACCAACACCTAGAAATCTTATACATATCATATGTTTTTATGCAATCTGGTAGGATGTGGGGCAACGTAATGTAATATAATGCAATACAAAGTTTTTTTTCAACGTCATATTATGCGAAGCATATATTTGGCATGCGCAAGAGTGGACAACTTGACGGAAGTCAACAACACAAGCTGTGATTAAATGCAGGATGAACATCTTGACAAATGACGAATAAGGGAGTCATGGGTGGAACAGTGAAATCCAAACGAACCCGTGTGCAATCAATTCGCGGGAGAAGCTTCAGCTTCGAACATGTTGTAAGAATAGGATGACCCCAATAGCACCGGGTTCATTAGATTGCCACGCGCATCCTGAAACCACTTTCCTTTACCACACGGAGTCTTGGGCATCGCGACAGTGGCTGCATTGGCTGGCACCTCCTGTGCTTTTGAAATTGGACTCTGGTTGCTCATGCTTGCTGCTTACTTGTTACACACACATACAGGTATATGTATATATATATAAAATATAATATATATATATATTAATATATAATGTATATCGTTTTTGTATCGTGTTCATGTCTGCCTTCCGCAATATTCAACAGTCAGCAAACCAGAATTTCCTTGTGGGTATGTCCTGGGGCATAGCATGAAAGCTGAATTTGCTCCCAAGCCGAGGACTATCAAACCAGAGTGGCAAAGAGCATCTTTTGCACTTCTTGTCAAGTTGTCCTTCAAAAACTGGTTTTTGCATCGTATCGAATCAGCTTTTCCAATTCCCTCGGCATTTCCTGTTTCAACATCTGGCCCCGACCGATGCTTCGCCTCGAAGGAATCTCGCAGCGAACGCCCTGTAGATCCAGAGGCCTGCGGCCTCGGGACGCGCGTTGCCAGTCACCAGTGTCACCAGTCAGATGCCGGAGCTGGGAGCTGGGTAGAGCTGGGTAACCAGCAGGTGAATGATGGCCCCTTGGCCCCAGATCGTAGCTGGGACTCTGATCACAGCTTGAACAAATCATCTGGATGGAATCTTGAAACTACTCTAAGAGGTCTACGGCTCTTTGCAATTATCAAGTGGCCATAGCATCTCCATATCCAGGTGGGCAAACCCAATGTAATTCACGCGGCTTAACAAAATCAATTCTACCATTTTGGAAATTAAGGCAACGCAACTGGTATAAAAATGATCCCTCTTTTTCCAAGCCCAGCCCTCCCTAGTCTTCCATAGTCTTTTTGCAGTATTCGCTGTTCACCTCTATGACATGCTCTCTCAATGCTTGACACAAACATGCACAAAACAAAGAAATTGCTTTTTGTGTTTCTTCGTTGAATTCACTCTCTAATTTCGTTCTCTGTTTGGTCCAATTGCATCTCTGAGAGTTGTGCCGCAGGCCCACCTCGTAAGGTTTCAACGTTGCCCATATGTTTTGGGCAAAAGACAAATGAATCGGCTCATGATGTCGCATGAACTGCTGGCTCGATATTCTCAAACATATCGCAACTCAAAACAAAAAGTAACAATAAAACATTATGAAACACCACCATTGCATTCCTATCCTGTATCAGCCTATATCGTCTTCTTAGCCAGGAACTTCCGGATTTTTTTTGATCTTTTTGTGGTTGACCCGAGCTTTGTTTTGTTTTTCCCCACCTGCCAGGTGAGGGTTGTTAGATTTTATGTCAGTTGCCTCCTCCTGCCTCCTGCCTCGTCCTCCTCCTCCTCCTCCTCCTCCTCTCCTCCTCGTCCTCCTCGTCCTCCTTGTCATCCTTGTCGTCCTTGTCGTCCTCGTCGTCCTCGTCGTCCTCGTCGTCCTCGTCCAACTGCGACCCGCGATCCACAGTGTTCCCTGCCGGACCTCAACCACGACCATCCACGCCCAGTGTTCCCTGCCGGACCTCAACCACGACCATCCACGCCCAGCGTTCCCTGCCGGACCTCAACCACGACCATCCACGCCCAGTGTTCCCTGCCGGACCTCAACCACGACCATCCACGCCCAGTGTTCCCTGCCGGACCTCAACCACGACCATCCACGCCCAGTGTTCCCTGCCGGGCCTCAACCGCGAGTATCCACGCCAAGTGTTCCCTGCCGGACCTCATGTAGGAAGATATGGGACAAAGAATGTGCAGAAGAAAGTTAGAAAGAATGTCAGAAAGAATGTCAGAAGATATGCCAGAAGATATGCCAGATAGAATGCCAAATAGAATGCCAGATAGAATGCCAGAAGATATGTCAGAATATATGCCAGAAAATATGCCAGATAGAATGCCAGATAATATGCCAGAAGATATGCCAGATAGAATGCCAGAAGATTTGCCAGATAGAATGCCAGAAAATATGCCAGAAGATATGCCAGATAGATATGCCAGAAGATATGCCAGAAGATATGCCAGAAGATATGCCAGAAAATATGTCAGAATATATGCCAGAAGATATGTCAGATAGAATGCCAGAAGATATATCAGAATATATGCCAGAAGATATGCCAGATAGAATGCCAGAAGATATGTCAGATAGAGTGCCAGAAGATATGCCAGATAGAATGCCAGAAGATTTGCCAGATAGAATGCCAGAAGATATGCCAGATAGAATGCCAGAAGATATGCCAGATAGAATGCCAAATAGAATGTCAGAAGATATGTCAGATAGAATGCCAGAAGATTTACCAGTAAGAAAATGTATAAATGTCATGGTGGGGATCACACGAAGTAAAGTAATTTCTCTGACTTTTTTTCATCACCGCAAGACTCAGTTTTTGCAGTTGGGCACCTGGTCGGCTGAGGTGTGGAGCAAGTTACCGAAGCCCATGCGGCCCATGGCTCTCAATGTTCGGATTGCTCAGAACGTAGTTATTCTTGACACTTCCTGACACTTCTTGACACTTCTTGACACTTCTTGACTGGCTGACGATTCTGACATATTCTGATGCTGACAGGTGAACGGCTCACCTGTTGCAAGGGCATGCTGGAGACAAGAGCAAAAAAGACTTTGATGAGACTGAGCCAAAGGATCTGGTACGACTCTTCTCAGATATTTGCATTGACTGTTTTTTCAAAATGGTTTCTATGTGTCTTTTGATGTGTCAAAGCAACGAGAATGACACGTCGATCTGCGCTGTTATGCGACTGTCCTGCCGTGTCCTGCACAAACCAGGAAATACAGGACCCCCTTGCTTGGCAGCACGTGATAAAAACCTGTTGACATCTGTTGGCCTTCTGGACCGGAGGCTGCAAGTGGTTTTCCATGTTTCTCGATGTTTCTCCACATTCTGACAGTGGCTGTCCTGAGAAATCCAGCAGACCCGCAAAACATTCTAAAATTGGCCGAAACTACCCATCAAATATACTCGTGAAAAACTAACAAATTGAACCAAAGGATTGTCATGTCCAAAGCAAAATCCTCTCCCAAGACATTCCAAACCATATTTGGCAATTCTATGATAATTTTCAGGGGGTAAACCCAAGCTCACGATCGGCAAATCCAAATCGCAGCAGCTGCAGACTTGGATATATGTTTTGCGTTGATGCTGACATTTTCCGCGCTCGCAGCGCATTTTCGATGCACGGCTCACGATGGAGGATAAACCTGACGTAGGTAGCTCAAAATTGGAAAGACAATTCCAGAACCACACTCAGCACAATCAAATCACTTGTCAGAAGTGCAAGTGCATATCTCTTGACCAGCCCTGTGAATCTCGTTTGACAAGTGACACTGGGACATATTTAACAATTTTGAATCAATCCTTTCGCATCCTTAGGTTTTTGTCATTGTATTGACACCGGGTTCCACTTCCCTCCTGCCAACACCGACGCCAGGCCTTCTCTTCGTCTGCAGCCAAGTCCCGGGCGTAGCGGCTTGGATCAACGAGGCCAACGCCCCGTGACTCCACCTGCAACCGCAGACCGCATCACAACCATCAAGAACTGTCATAAACAACATCAAACAACCAGGTGCAACCCGGAACAAGCGGCACAACTGGGCACAACCAGGCGCAACCCGGAACAACCAGGTTCCAGAGCTAGCACTTGGCAGAATTGTTCTATCCTCTAATCAAGCCGAGGAAACAACAATGAAACCGCCAACCATGTGTTGCAAAACCCATCCTACCCCGAATCTTATTCCATTTGTGCGGCAAACCTTTTTTATTCAGCTGGCTGCGGCGTCAGGATCCGACGCTGCGACACGGTTTGACGTTTACGTTCAGGACATGTCGGGGACATGTCAAAGATGTGTTGGGGATGTGAACGGGGTGAGCAAATTCTTGTTACGTCTCACCTCCTTAGCGCTTTGGCCAAGTCCTGCGGAGCGATCCATTTCCGTCCCAGCTCAAAGGACACCTCCACAGACCCACCGGGGATTTTGCCGTCCACCAGTTCTTTGGCCACCTGCACAACTTCACCATCACCTGCCCAGCCCGCAATAGTTGTCTTAGCTTAGCTTCGCTTGGGTTGGAAAACCAGATAGGCAACAGGCAAAAAGGGAAGGTAGAAAAGATCCATGAGATAGAGACGAAACAGCATATAGGTAGATAGACAAGCAGATATAACAAATGATACAAGACAGGAAAAAAAAACAAAAAGAAAAGGCCGATGAGACTGGATGAGACTAAAAGAAGCTGAGACGCGATTTGCCAAGGTGAGACCGAGAGGCAAAATATTCAGCGAAGAACACAAACAGAGGAAGGTAAGTAAACTAGATTCCCTTAGGTTGGATTAGGAAGCCAAAATGATACGAAGGAAAAGAAAAGAGATAACAAGAGAAAAAGATGGATAGATAGATGGACAGATAGATGAACAAGTAGACGGATAGACAGAAAAACAGACAGACAGAGACAGATAAAAAGATAGATAGATAGATAGATAGATAGATAGATAGATAGATAGATAGATAGATAGATAGATAGATAGATAGATAGATAGATAGATGAATCGAAAGATAGATAGACAGATAGAAAGACAGACAGAGAGACAGATAAAAAGATAGACAGATAGACAGATAGACAAATAGACAGATAGACAGATAGACAGATAGATAGATAGATAGACAGACAGATAGATAGTTAGGTAGATAGAAAGATAGACAGACAGATAGATAGATAGTTAGGTAGATAGATAGATAGTTAGGTAGATAGATAGATAGTTAGGTAGATAGATAGATAGATTGGTCGGTCGCGAAGGGTTCTACAGTCCGAAGTAAGATCAGGCTGACCAGGTAAGGCTCGCTCGATGAGAGAGAACACGGGTGATCAAATTGGGTGGGATTAGCTGGGATAGCTTGACTCAGCTTAGTTGGAGTGGATTGGGTTCGATGAGGCTGTGTTCGGCTCCAGTTGTCTTAGGTTGGATTTGCCTTGCTGATGGTGGATCAGGTTTAGTAGGCTGCCTGTCCGTTTCCGTTTGTCTGTCTGTCTGTATGGGTGGATGGATGGATGGATGCAAGTAGGTGTAAGTCTATAAGCCTGTATGAACATGTGTGTATGCTGTATGCATATGAAAATCTTACCAAATGCACATGAAAATTGAAGCCCACATGTGAGTTCAAATGTGTATCCGTGAAAACTTGCATGCAGGTATGTATGTATGTATGTATGTAGGCATGCTGCATGCATGCATGTATGTCTGCATGTCTGTATGTATGTGTGTATGTGTGTATGGGTAGATGCATGGATCGATGCGTTTAGGTATAAGTGTATGTGCCTGAATGTACATTCGGGTGTATGCGTATGAATATGTAATCCAGCTGTGTAGACCTACATTTAAATGCGACTGTGAATTTGTGTATGCTTGCATCAAGGCATGTATACACATGTTGGTGATGTATGTATGCATGCCATTAGACCTACATGTCAATGCGTGTGTGAATTTGTGTATACTTGCATCAAGGTATGTATACACATGTTGGTGTTTGTATGTTTCCATGCGTGCATGCATGATGAAAACATGTCTGAATGCATGCATGCATGTATGTATGCGTGTGAGGTTAAAGATGGTTAAAGTCTAAAGGTGTGTTCGTGTTTGTGTTTGTGTGTATGTATGTATGCAGGTAGCGGGGTAGGTAGGCATGTATGTCTGTACGCATACATGGGTCCGAATGTCCACCTACCAAAGACAAATTTGCTAACATGTGCAAGCAGCAGCCAGTTATGCATTGGATGCGCATGTCGTGCACTAGCATCCCTTCATCCGCAAAATCACCGCCCAAACCACTACACAGAACCCGATACTTCCCATACTTCCCTGGTCCATCTAAAATCAAAAAACAATCTGTCAGGCAGAGTCTGTCGGGCAGCCCAAATTCACCAAGTCACACCATCGTTGTGCAGAGTTGGACCAAACCAAGCATCTCTCCCCTGGCTGCCATGGGCCCTGCATGCCACTGGCGCCCGGAAAGCCCACAGGGCCCATGGGGCCCGCAGATGCTCCGTAAGGTGCAGCGTCACCTTCTGCAAGGAGGGCTGCTCGCAGCGTTGGGCGTTTCCGCAGCAACGGACGCAGTAGTACCTCCCAGCCACTTTTAGAAGAGGCATTGCGACCGTGCATAGCGTGCATGTGCATATGCATGGCATGTGTGCATCTGCATCGAAATCCATTAAGGTTTCTTCTGCATAGACAGGCATACGTATATTTATTAGCGCCAGGGCACCCCGGTAAATATCTATAAATAGACAGACAGCGGTGCATGCACCAGTGCTAGGTTTGGACACGCTTTAGGATGGAAATGGACACAAGGGACAATGATGACATGCACATACAGACACGGTTGCCATGCTGAAGTAAGGTGGATCCGGACTCGGGGAGTGAGAGGCAGAGAGAGAGAGAGAGAGAGAAACCGAACACACGCCAGGCAACGCAGCCAAACAGCAAGGGGAGAAGATGGAAGGACGCGAAACCGAGCAAAGCGACGCGCAGCTACGCCTACCTTTGCACAAAAAGGGGCACACTACAACTCTGAGAGAAAGCGCCGAAGAAAGTGAAGAGCCAACCGGGGCTGGTTGATGAAGGCAATCTGGCCAAAGAGTGAAACAAGGACAATGACTCCCTGTGTGCCATTGAAAAAGTATTGTGTACATATACTCGCGGTGTGTGCGTCTATATATATATATATACTACACACTTCTACAATATACAAAAAACACGTCTCTCTAAGTATATGCGCGTTTGGCAAAGGCAGTTTAGACGTCCGAGCTCCGTCGTACAGATTTTCAAAAAAGTGAAGAAAGCCAAACACCACCATCAGCACATCATCACATCTTCACACCATCACATCACAAGCATCATCACATCACAACATCACAACATCACAACATCATCACACATCATCACATCACAACATCACCACAGCATCGCATCACCATATCACCACATCGCTGCATCACCACACCACCGCATCACCACATCATCACATCGCCCTAGGTGGCGTTTGAAGGTTAGGAATCGCACGTCGCCCTATGTTTTCCCGCGCAACGCGTCGAGCCTTTGGGCGGTTCCAATTTTGGTTAGGCCAAGCCCAAAATACTGGCCCGAACGATCCCTCGACAGGTCTGTCTTTCCCCACCTGCCAGGTGAGGGTCTCTACTTGCTCCTCCTCCACCTCCTTCCCTCAACTGCAAGCTCCAGATCTCAGTGGGCAGTGGGCACTGCCGGGCCTCAACCGCAGGCTCCAGATCTCAGTGGGCACTGCAAGCACCAGATCTCAGTGGGCACTGCCGGGCCTCAAGAATAGAACGTCAGATAGAATGCCAGAATAGATGCCGGAAAGAATGTCAGAATAGATGTCAGGTAGATTTTCAGAAAAACTGCCTGGTAGAACGCCAGAGAAAATGTCAGAACAGAGGCCAGGAAGGATGCCGAATAGGATGTCCGAATGATGCCAGATAGAATGCCAGAATAGAATGTCAGAACAGAATGTCAGAATAGAATGTCAGATAGAATGCCAGAATAGAATGCCAGAATAGAATGCCAGAAAACATATGCTATATATACTTCCACATGAGATGTCAGAAACTATGCCAAAATAATGTCAAGGTGGGGATCACTCGAAGTAACGTATTTTTTTTCCGATGGCGGTGTCAATTTTCTGGGCCGGTCATATTGGACATTAAAAAACATGGCTTCGCAATTCGTATCTATGGCCGCTGCAAATGCCCAGCAATGGCTTTGACTGGTTCTTTGCAGAAGCAAGCTCTGCTTGCAGGGGCTAGTTGATGAATATACCATTGGCATGGTATGCAAGGGAATTCTGGTCGATAGTTTCATAGCTTGAATGCGTTTTCTTGAAAACACATGGCCATAGAGGAAATGTATTATATGCATATATGTATATGTATAATGTTCATAGGCTCAATGTGCACATATAGAATGTTTACATACTTATACATGTAAAAATATACACCTGCGGTTTTTCTTACGAGAACTTCCAAAGTTGCAGCACATCCCACAAGGAACAGTTGACCCTGCTGAACAAACAGCAGCAGCACAACAAGTAGGGCATAAGGTGGGTGACAGTGCCTTGAGGATGGCGTGCGTTTATGTCCTTTTTGGGATAGGGATAAAAATGGAATGCGCTCAAAACCTCATGGTTTTGATACTTTTGATTGGAACTTCATTGATTGAAGGGGCTTAAAGTCATGCAAGGTCGCCGAGGAAGCTCATTTCGGGCAACCTTTGTAGCACCTTAGGCACTTTTTTCTGTCTTGGCTGCGCGCGGGTTTCATTTCAAGGTTGGAAGTTGGAACAAATGGTCTTAGGTATTTCCACAAAGGTCCTTCTGACCTTCGTCTCCAAAGCCAGGTGTGTGTATATATATAACAACATATATACATAACTATATATATATACATACATATACGTAGAGATAGTCCAGAGAGAGAGAGAGATATATATATATATATGCAAAGTTTGGGGCAGAAACATGCAAAAACTGAAAAACTGAAAACATAACTAAGCAACAAAAGACTCGACATGGCCTCAAGGATGTCAGTCTTACCCCAACCGGCAAGTACGCGCGCACAAGCGTAGCATAAAGTACATGTGCATAGGCAAGGAAACATCCAGTAGTGTAGTACCAAGTATGTGCGCACAAGCAAGTAAACATCCAGTAGCTTAGCATCAATTACGTGCGCACAGGAAAATAAACATCCAGTAGCGTGGCATCAAATACGTGTGCAGGTGCGCGGGAAGACGTCTCTAGCGTAGCATCAAGTAGATGTGCAAGTGCAAGGGAGGACGTCTGTAGGGTAGCATCAAGCACGTGAGCAAGTGCAAGGGGAGACGTCTGTAGCGTAACATCAAGTAGGTGTGCAAGCGCACTTCGATGGTATTGCCCCACCCCACCCCACCCCACCCTTTTAGGGTTGACTTGGGCTTGGTTTAAGATCCATTTAGGTTGGTTTAGGATTAGGGTTAGTTTTAGAGTGTTTTTTGGCTCGGTTAAGATCTGTTCAGTGTTGGTTTAGGATTCATTTAAAATTGGGGTAGGGTTTATTTGGGAAATGGTTTAGGCTCTATGTAAGCTCTTTTAAAGATCTATGTAGAGTTGGTTTAAGACCTTTTTCAAGTTAGTTTTAGGGTTTATATTCAGGCTTGGTTCAAGATCTACCTACTTTTAGTTTAGGACCTATTGAGGGTTAGGGTTGGTTTAGGATCTATTTAGGGTTGGTTTTCGGTTTTATTTAGGTTTGGTTGAGGATCTGTCCAGAGTTGGTGTAGGGCCTGTCCAGGGTCGGTTTAAAGTTTGTTTAGCGCTGGTTTAGGATTTAGGCTTGGTTTAAAATCTATTTATGGTTGGTGCGAGGTTTATTTAGGCTTGGTTTAAGATATATTTGGGGCTGGTTAAGGATCTATTTAGGGTGGGTTTAGGGTTTATTCAGGATTAGATCAGATTTGTTTAGGGCATGTTTAGGGTTAACTTAAAGTTGCTTTAGTGTTTTTGTTTGTTTTGGATTTTATCTAAGGTTAATTTAGGGCTGGTTTAAGGTTTGTGTGTTACATGATGCTTCTTAGGGTTTGTTTACACAATGAGAAACATAAGAAAAGCAGGGAAAAGCGGAGAAGCAAAGAAGCAGGGAAAGCAGAGAAGCTGAAAAGCAGAACCGCAAAATGGAAAACAAATCCAAACAACTAGCAATCCCTTGAAATAATTGTACTGAAAGATTGAAAACTTTTAAAGCTGGCGTGACCGCTGCGACCGCTACACAAACAATTTTTTTGAAGTGACTTTTGGTTTGCAAGTTCTTGTCACTTTGCGATTAGCCGCTCTCACGCAGTGACTGGAACTGGAACCCCTCCAAGGCTAATTCCTGAAGCAATATCCGGAACCTACTTTTCCCAGCAACTCTGCTTCATAATGGCTGTTGATGGTCAATTCTTGTGACGTGATTGTGGTATACCACCTATGCGCGGTCTTTGAAGCAGCTTTGAAGTTTGCGGTAAATTGGTAGGCTCACGTACCCAGCCCTTGTAAAAAACACATTGTTCCGTCTCTCTGTCTCTCTCTAGAATGGCCCTGTGCATGAGTTGTTTCTCATAATGACATGGGGCTGGAACCGCCTTCTCAGACGGTACTTGGGATCCACGGGATACACCCGCACACACACACATAAATATGCATATCGGGGTACATACATACAGCATGCATGCATGCATACATACAGAGATAGATACATACATACATACATACATACATACATACATTACATTACGTTACGTTACATTACATTATTGCAGTACATTACATGAAATAAAATTACATTGTATTACATTACGTTGCATTACATTACAGAACGTAACATTACATTACATACCGGCTCATACCATTACATGCCATTACAAAACATTACATTACATTACATTACAAAACATAACATCCGTAACATCCGTAACACCCATAACATCCAAAACGTACAAAACATGCAACACATACAAAACATAACATAAGATAACATAACATGACAAACATTACATTACATACATGCATACCATACATACATAACATGCATACCATACATACCATACATACGATACATGCAAAACATCCATGACAGACATAAAAGCATACATACATAACATACAGAACATACATAACATACAACACATACATAACAAGCATGCATGCATGCATGCATCCATCCATGCATCCATCCATCCATCCATCCACCCATCCATGCACATATAAATGTTTATTCATTTGTTACGTAGACATATGACATGTTCATACAAACAGAAATATGTGTAGTATATATATATAGAGAGAGAGAGAGAAATAATCCCTGTACGAGTTCACCAGGTCAGGTTGGGGCCTGTGATTTTCTACTAGAAAATGAATGTTGTATAAATTAGAGACCCAAGAAAATCTAGCTACCGACATCAAACCAATTTGAGGTATCCTAGAAAAATGGCAACCCCCAAGAAGTGATTTCCGAAGCTATGGATATCATTTTTTCTTAGAAAAACATCACCCTGCTTGAATTGCATAATGTTGAAATTACGAAATAAAAATTTTTGAAAACAACTTCCGGGGAATGGTTCTCTTTTTCTAAAGCCCAACATCCAACCCATCGATTTTTTCGAATTATTCGACGGCTGCAATGAGATGCAGCGAGATGCGGCAAGTGTTGCAAACTTGGACAGGAGAGAGATGGGACTGGATTTTAAGCATGTTTAAACAAAACAAAATGACCTACCAGTGCCTCTCTAGAAAATCAGGGACCACTAGAAAATCTATGAACGTCTCCCAGAGATGCTAAAATTGTGCTCCTGGATTTTGGGCACTTAAGCTACCCAGAAAATCAGGGTCTTCCGACTCAGAGGTCTCCAAAAGTTGTTTGGTAGAAAATTGGGGGAACTTCGAAAGCATCATTTCAAAAAAATCGAACTTTTCGAACGGCAGAAAATCAACCCTCCTTAGGGGGGGTTAACCCCCCTGAAATCCTAGAGGAAACTCATACCGGTATGAGAAATACATAGATATACACTCATATACTATATACATTTACATTTACATAAAGATATGTATACATGATAAATAAAAGTATATCACATGTAGGTAGGTAGGTAGGTAGCTAGGTAGCTAGGTAGCTAGCTAGCTAGCTAGCTAGCTAGGTAGGTAGGTAGGTAGGTAGAGGTAGAGAGAGGTAGAGAGAGGTAGAGAAAGGTAGAGAGAGGTAGAGAGAGGTAGAGAGAGGTAGAGAGAGGTAGAGAGAGGTAGAGAGAGGTAGAGAGAGGTAGAGAGAGGTAGAGAGAGGTAGAGAGAGGTAGAGAGAGGTAGAGAGAGGTAGAGAGAGGTAGAGAGAGACTGAGAGACTGAGAGACTCTGAGAGAGAGAGAGAGACTGAGAGACTGAGAGACTGAGAGACTGAGAGACTGAAAGACTGAGACGGAGGGAAGGAGAGAGAGCGAGAGAAAGAGATAGCGAGAGGGAAAGGGAAGGGTGCCTTGCGTATGCATGACTGAAGCTGACAACCACGGCGCGACCAAGTTCACTAGACTAACGTACAGATGCAAACAGCGAGAAAGGAACAAAGGAGACTGGAAACGACTAGGGCCAGGGTACATTGAGAAGAAGGCAAGACAAGAGGCAACCTTGCACTGAAGGCCAACATCCTCAACCCAAGAGCAGCGAACATGAGCAATGCACACTCTGTTCAGCTGGAAAGCAACCTGAAAGGTGAGCGCGATTGTCAACCCGCCTGCAAATACCTGAATCTTGATGCATTATTACACATGAGCTTTGCATATCTCTTCCTTTTTCCGCTCCCTCTCTCTCTCTCTCTCTTCCCCAAACAGTGTGGCCACACTGCGGGGTTCTTGCGGTAACAGTTAAAGCCGGGCGTTCAATGGAGGTGGTACCATCCGTGTCCGGCCACGTCCCTGTAAATTTCCATACAAAATAGCTTTTGTGACATGTCCATGTGCATTTCGACTGCGTAGGCTTGCGCAAAACGGGTGTCGCGGCTGAAGCGTACGGCATTTTCCCTGTAAATTTCTGCGCCAAATGGCTTTTGTGAAATGTCCGTGTGCATTTCGACTGCGTAGGCTCGAAAAAACGATGGCCTGTAAATTTCCACGCAAAACGGCTCTTGTGGCATGTCCATGTGCATTTCGACTGCGCAGGCTCGCGCAAAACGCTGGCCGCGGACGACGCGTCTGGCATTTCCCTTGTCAATTTCCGCACAAAATGGTTCTTATGACATGTCCATGTGCATTTCGACTGCGCAGGCTCGCACGAAACGGGTGTCGCGGTATTAGTCTCCTGCGTTCTCTCGTACACACTGGGTCTTGTGGTCTGTCCTTGTGCCTTGCGACCTCTTCTAGCGAGCTTGCGCAGAGATCTTGCCAAGAAACCTACATGAAGATCTTGGCCAAGAGACCTCCCACAGGGATCTTGCCACCCGAACTCTGGGCAGGAGACCACTAATAGAGATCTTGTACAGAGACCTGGTAAAGAGAGCAGAGATCTTGCTCAAAGATGTTGTCTAGAGAGCTTCAACAGAGATCTCTTTGAGGTCCCTCACAGAGATCTTCTGTGGAAATCTGTTGTAGAGAGATCTCTTCAAGAGTCTTGCCAAGAGACCTCTTATAGATATCTTGCCAGGTCACCTCTTATGGAGACCTTGTACAGAGAAATTGCATGGAGATTTGTTGCAGAGATCTTGCCAAGATGTCTTTTACATAAATCTTGCCAAGAGAGCTTTTTTAGAGAGCTTGTGCAGAGATCTCATGGAGAGATCTCGCATGAGATCTCTTATAGAGATCTTGCCAAGGAGGTCTCGCCAAGAGACCTCAAAAAGAGATCTGTGCAGAGAGAGCTCTTATATAGAGCTCTTGTACACAGATCTTGCCAGGAGACCTCTTGCGGAGATCTTGTAGAGAGACCTGGTGAAGAGAGCGGAGGTCTTCCTCGGGGATCATTTGTAGATAGCTTGAACAGAGATCTTACTTTGAGATCCCTTACCAAGATCTTCTGTGGAGCTTTTGTGTAGACACCTTGTGCAGATAGCCTTACACGGGGATCTTGCACAGCTTCTACAGAGAACCTCTCAAGGAGATCTTGCGCACGATCTTCTCGAGATCTTCACAAAGGGAACTTACAGAATCTGACCTGCTATCTCTTCTTTTCTGGTGCTGCTAGCTTGCAGCCGCTGATGATTTTAGGTCCTTCCATGTCCTTTCCACCTTTCCCTTAGAATCCTAACTACACACTGTTTGGGGTCTCTTGCCGCGATAATAAATATATGTATATATATATATGTAATTATATATATAAAAATATATGTACATATGTATATATATATATAAAAGGGGCTCTATAGGCACTTATGTGTATATGTAACGCAAATGCGTGCTTTCATTTAGAAAGTAGAAAGTATACACTGGTTGGCGCTTTCAACACATCCCGAACCTGCTGGTCAACAGGGAGGCGTCATTGTCCCAAGTAAGGTCCAAACTAAAACATTTTGGAAACCACCAATCCGTACAGTACTTGTCTATACCTACAATCATGCACATTGCAATGGTTGTTTATGCATTTGCTTTGTTATGCCCTGAGGCTCTGAAGTGGCAGCACATCATGTTGGAATCGTGCTCCGTCGGCTGAACACAAGCTCAGCGAACAATCTTTAAACTGCGGCCAGTTTTGAATAACAAGCGACCAACTTGTAACAAATCGCCTGGCAAAAATTTGACTTCTAGTCTAGCCTCAAGCCAAAAAACAAAAGGAAATACCGCACGCACTGGTTAGACACATTAATGAACCTAGAGTCTAGAGCAACCTGCAACCAACAAACATCAAGGAACATGGCAAACACAAATCGAACATCTTTGGAAAAAATGAAGACGTTTGGAAGACGTTTGGAAGACGGTTTTGGGCACCAGGAGCTCCAAGTCGTTCAACTCATCGAGTTGCGCCAAGCTTGGCCCTGTCGCCCCCGGCCGTGGCGGAGGGCCTGTGGGACCTGGACCTTAGGTGTCGTCGGTGTCGTCGTGTCAGATGCAAAGAATCTTGAAACAACAAATGACAACAGTTTAACAACAATACAAACTTTATAAACACATGAAATCATGAACCCTTTCCACCCTATAGACTCTATACATTTGTACAAATCTATATGCAGTACATATAGAGCACCAGGTATGTGCACATATGTATACATATGTATATCTATATCATTCTATATCTACGTGATTCTACGTGTATATGTATGTATACGTATGTATATCTAGATTTATATATACACAATATATATATATATATAGAGATAATTAGATATGTATACACACTATACATATTTGATATCACTTGATTTTACTTGGCCCAATGGTACCCAATGCCAAACATGAAGCTGCCAGCAATTGTGAATGACTGCTTGCTATTCAATTTGCGATCAAATTCGTGGTGCAAATCGCTTCAAAATGCTTCAAATATCTCTTAAAACGATTTCAACTGTTGACAAGTTCCCAATGAAGTCCTTGGGGCTCTGGCCTGGCGGGCCCGGCAAGCTCACACGGGACAGCGACTCTGCACAGGCGGCACTTCGAGTGGCGTCGATTGAAACCTTGCGCACAACGTTCAGGACTGAGCCTTTCTGGATGCCTCAGATCCCATCTCAGATGATCTCAGATGATCTCAGATGAGTCAAATCAATAGCAACTGTGACCATGTGACTGGGGAAGTACTCAGAGCCTTGTGTCTTCTCTTGTGACATCTCCCAGTGTGACATCCCCTCAAAGGACTCAATCCACAGTGTGGCGCTACACTTCTTACTGTACTGACTGTACTGCATGTATGAGGCAGCGGAAAACTGTAAAGCCATGTCAAGTAGTCCAGCGGGATAAAACATCATGAGGTCAAAGCCGTCCCCTAAGCATCTACAGTGAATTTACACTATGAAACAAAAACAAATACCATGCATTACCATGCAAACTAATACAAACACCCAAAGTCCGTTTGAAAGGAACTCCATGAACTCGTTCTCCGAGACACCATAGTGCTCCAAAGTCAAAGGTGCACCGTCGGGCAGTTTGTCAAGACCCAATGCAGCTGCCAAGGCCCCAGTGCTGCGACGCTGTCGCCACAGGGGCGTCACAAGTTCCTCCAACTGCGTCCCGGCGTAGATTAAGCGCTGCTCCAAGGCGGGAATCTTCAACGCATCCTGAAAAAACTGCATCAGTCAGTCTTCAAGCTGCTTGAAGAGATTCTGTCTTCAACAGTCTTGACTATGAAGGACTCAGAAGACTAGGAATTACAATTATTGAGCAATATATTTTCACTGAAAGTTCCAATTCGTTCCCATCCTCCACGAATTGTCGCAAGCCCAGGATAGTCGTGTCTGGCTCCACATCCAGCTCGGCATTCTCACCGTTCAACGACCGAATGGTGATGCGCATGGCCCCCGACGCTAGACCCAATGGAATGGCACAACAAGGGGTTGGCAAAACATGCCTTCCAATGCAATGGATACTGTGCTGCGCTAGTTGCGAAAATGTCTTGGGCTGCTTGCCATACAACTCGGTGACTTGATGTACTCTGGACTGAGACTCAAATAAAGTAGAAGAACACGGGGCAATCTTCAATACCCTTTCAGAATCGTGGATGTCATGTACTATATAAGATAGACAATTGTAGAGATAGTGACCGTGCACATTGGAGATGCACACTGGAGGTACCTCTATATATATATATTTTTTATATATCTGTCAATCTAGAAACCGGGTAAATGAGCAGCGGGCTCTTTCTAGTGAGATTCTGTGAGATTGTGCCAGACATAGCATGCAGTGGAGCCAAAGACGTGACGTGGAGAGCCAGGGGGTCGCTTCACGTCTGAAAGCCGAAGCTGCATCTTTTGCAAAGCCAGGCCCCAATAGAACAAATACACGCAAAAGTGTGAATTAATAAATAATATAGAAAAAACATGAAAAAACCGCTGCACGTGTGCATGCTTTCTCATCTTTCTTGTCACAACATCCTGCAGGAAGGCCAAATTTCCGGCATGTAACACGCAAATACACAATCAGCATAAACCAAATATATGTGTGTATACATACAATGAACAAATGTATACATATCTGTATCTATATAATTCTATATATATATATGCGAAAGGGAACTAGACCATACAATCACTCAACATGCTGAGCATGTAGGGTAGGAAACAAGTATGCATGTACCGCCAATTACTTTGGCTCAAGATCATGCGTGAGGAAAAAGATCGGTCTCCGAGTGCCATGCCGTGACGTTGCCCAGCATTACCAGCACAACGGGTATTTCAATCAAAAGGGGTAATCCAGAACAAGGATTAAATTGTTCACAGGTTATCAGCCGTAAGGGCTCACTTCTTCCGTCGGAAGAGGAGTACCTGCGTGCTGGTGGCCGGGCCGTCAGAGCTTAAGATTGTGGACGCAAAGGACCAATCAGCTCATCATCGCAAAGATGCAGGGCGGCAGCGGGGACTCGCGCAACACGCAGTTTACCTTCAACGAGAACACTGCTATGCCGGTCGAGGAGGTCACTCAATCTTCCCCTGGCGACACGGCAGACAGTGGTGGGATACGCTCTACCCGAACTACACAGTCCGGATGGCAAGTTACATCAAACAGACGAAGAATATCCACCCAAAGTACACCAAGATCTTCTCGAAACAGTGCTCGAAGTGATGTTGTCCGCCAAGGGCACCGACCATCTCGAGGACGAACTACCCCAAGGGACAGATCCACCAGGGCCGGAACCGACCGAATTGGTGAGAGGACCGGGGACACTCGCGTTAAGAGGAGATCAACGGATACTTCTGTGGCTAGTGAACCTATTGCCATGATAGAAGAACTACGGGCACAATGTCAATCCTTACGTAATCAGTTGAACAACATGGAAGCATATGCTGCATCAAGAGATCAACTGATTCATGACATCGAGATCAGATTCACTGAATATCTTCAGGAACACAACCAGAATGTGTTTGATGAGGTCAATGCACTCAATCATAGATTGTCATGTTCCGCAAATGAGGTTGCAGAGTATCAAGCAGAACTAATGGTAGCATCTCAGGAAGACGAAGGTGCAACAATACGCATCCAAGACCTTGAACGCCGAGGTGCCCTGATGGAACACGGTGCAAGACGGATCCATCAACGTGGTATGGAGATACAGGAAGAGTACAAGGATGAAGTACATCACCTTCAAGGACTATTGGGTAATACGGAGGCAAGACTACAACAACTTCATCAGACCAATGTCTTGACTACCGATATTGCCAACCGATTGTACACTGAAGGTCAAGAAATGCAGACGGATTTCCAGAACTCAATCATGGAATATCGTAATCGATCCGAAATGGCATCCTTCTCAAGCAATCAACTTGAAATGATTAGCCAACAACAATCAATTGCAGTTCATGAATTGTCTGAACGGAATCAGCTAGTGAGTGAAGCTCTAGTTCAGTCTCGTAAACAGGCCGAGTTGTATGAAAGCAGTATTGAAGAGATCACTAGAGAATCTAGAAAGAAGGTTTTCGAGGCAAATCAGGCCAAATTGGAAAGTGATCTGAAGCACCGAAACACTGAACATGATACTGTCAGAAGAATTGCATCATACAGGAACCACGAGGCCGAAGCGATATCGGCTTGAATCACAAGCTAGTGCAAATGCGATCGCAAGGGCAGAGCACTATGAAGAGCTCTACGCCAACGAGCAGGAGATGAACTGTGAGTTGAAGGATGAGATCAAATTGCAGAACGTGAAGTTGCGAAGATCATTAACTCAGGGCACTACGATCGACGGTCGTGGCCCTGATGAGATGCTTGTTGAGGATCTACGGAACCAAGCCAAAATCGCTCAAATCAGGGTTCAGGATCTAGACCATGAAGTTCATGAATGTTTACAGGAGAACATGTTGTTAAAAGAAAGATTGACTGAAGTTGCGGATGTAGGGGCGTCGTCCTTCTCCAATGCTGAAGTCCGAACTTTAAGATCTGAACTAGAAAGTGAGCGCAAAATGAAATTGGCTAGTGGTGTTCAGCAATATGAGAGATCATGCATGTTCATGGGGGAAATTCAGGATAGGGATGAAAAGATTGGTATCAAGAATTCTGAGATTATTGACATGAAACGTCACATAGATGAACTGAGAAAGAGTCTCAAGGATTCTGAAACATCTGTGTCCAGGGTCAACCCTGATGCGCTTCCCTATTCGGCAGGTATCCCCAACTATGATCTCGCATCAAGACTGGTCATCGACAAACTGGAGAATGAGGTGAGTGAGGCTAACTCTGAGAACGCTATCCTAAAATCTTGGGTATCGCAGATCAACAAGGAGTTGACCTACGAGACAAATGCTGCTCAATCCTATCGCGGACATGCTGGATCTTCTCAACAGCAACCTTCTCAATCGAACAAAAGAATCACCGATCTGCTGAAAGAAGTTGACAACAAGATCGCCGATGGAACTGAGAAGGACTATTACAAGCCTCCGAGCGGATGGGGCGGTCCGCCTGACCCTGATGGGCCTCCTGATCCTTTCGGGCCCAACGGTCCAGGACAACCTCCAGAACCTCCTGGTTTGCCTTCGGTTCGAGGATCACAACGCGATTCAGCAGATGATATCTCCACAGCGGCGTACACGGCAGAAGAAGTACCGAGAATGTCAAGGCGGGAGGCTGACAAAGTCTATGTTAGCCCATGGCCGAAGCAACAGAACCTTGGGGTTTGGCAGTCAGATCTCATCAAGGGTGTTGTTCTTGCCGCGAATGATGGAGACAAAGCTGCATGGGAAGCATGGTTACAGCCGGCTATTCGGCCAAATCCAGACATCGAGCTACTGAATGACAGCGGTGGGCAACGATATCAGTCGATCGACGCGAAGTTGTCAATCGCATTGTCGAACGTGATAGCGCAAGCCGGTGATGTTGCTCGTCATGTAGCAATTAAACTGAGATTGAGAACACAGAGTCATAGTCGAAGAGGGACCTATGTTATGGGACGAGAAATTTTGGCTATGATTCTGGAACACTTCAGGACACCAGGTCAACGAGAGACAGCCTTCACCATGGAGCACATCGTATCGATGAAGTACCTCGGTGACTCTAACCTGGAAGTGTTCTACGAGAAGTGGATGGAGATGGTGTCAAATATGATGCCGGATGATGTACCTCCTGATGATTGGCTTCGTGACGCTCTATACAAGAAGATTCGAAATTCGAGTCTCATGATGTTCGACATCAAGCAGTACGAATCATGGATTGAAGGAGATCAAAGACGAAGCTATCGTTACCTGTTGGACGTCATCGAAAGGCACATATCCAGGATCAGAGAAGACAAGCATGTGGCCGCTAGAGAGAAGTACGCAAGAGACTTTGCAGGTGGTGGCAAACCCAATGCTCCTGCACCAAATCCAACTGCTGCTGCACCAGATGCCAATCCGAAAGCGAAGGCTAAAGCCACTCCCAAGGAGAAGGCAGCACCTAAGGCGAAGGCCAAGGCTGAGGCAGCTCCAGTTCTACCATCACCTCAACCAAAACAGCATGCAAAAGGAAAAGGGAAAGGTCAAGGGAAAGGAAACGGACGACCAAATAGTCGAAGTGCTAGTCCTAGATCCAAGAAGAAGATCCCATGTCATTTCCACTTCATCAAGAAAGCATGCAGAAAAGGAAAAGATTGTGAATACAGTCACGACCAAAAGGTGTTTGATGCGAACAAGAACACGAAAGGTAATGGTCGAAAGCCAGGAACTCCGAGAAGTCAATCTCCAGCGAACAAGACCAAGAAGATTGATGAACCATGCTGGCACTGGGCCAAGGGCAAGTGCCGATACGGAGACAAATGCAACAAACGTCACGATCCTCATCTCTTCAACACTGCTCCGAACACCGAAGCACCAAGCTCAAAGGCTACTCCTGCACTTGTCCATGAATGGAGTGATGACGAAGGGACATTCCACAAGGTTGCATCGAATGTCGTCAAGAAGAAGGTACGATTCGACGAGTCTAAGACTTGCATTCAGACGTACGTGAAGAAGGACTTCGTGAAGTGCAGCCGGAAATCCCAGACCATCCCCAAAGGTCATGGTAAAGTCGGCAAGCCCACCGATCAGATAAGGCAAGATGAGCAATGGTCTTATTCATGCAGACTAGCGTCAAGCCGAGGGAAGGCAATGGCTATCCTGATCGATGAGAAGGGTGAGTACAGTGACATTGATGAAGTCCTAGTCATCGTCGGTCCCAGTCTGGACATTCTGATCAGGTTCGACATCGAGGACGGTGAGGTATCCAGAGAGGTCTTCGTGGAGAACTATGTCCAGCATGTCGAGGGTCGATATGGCAAAAGGGGAAACACGATGTGTATCACTGTTCCTGTTGAAGAAAGAGATAAGAGATTCATATTGGATTCTGGAAGTGGTCATGATCTTATCTCATCAACAC